CACAATTCTGACCAATCACATCCAACCATTCAACATATGTATTCCTCATGTACCTAGTCACACTGCCTCATGTAGTGCCCCCCTTGGGGCCAAAATACCTCACTCTTTTCTATATAAGGAGGCTCTCCTCCCCCTCAGTTGTATCTTTTTTCTTTTCCTGAGCGGAGTACTGAACCAGTGTTTCCCCTATAACATTACCCACCTGCTCAACATTATTATTATACTCTCTTACAAATTTACTTACAATACATACCATTGAAATAACAATTATTAACAACTCTCAACACTTATATAAATACCACCCCTTATTTTTTGGAGCCCCTTCAGCCAACTTGCACCTGGTTGAAGCCTTGGCCCTCTCATTACATATAATTACATACGAATACCTCACTCAAGACATCAATCCACGACTCAGACGACAGTTATCTTTTGATAACACTCCACTATCACTATATAAACCTGCCAATCTGAGATTGGTGGGCTTGTTTTAGTGTCTAGTGAACCAGGAAAGGCAGAGGCAACCTCACACATCCCTTTCCGCACTCAGCAAAAGATTCTCAGGAATACTTTTGAGCTTAACAACGCTCTACACTCCACTATCTCCGCTCTGTTTTTTGTTCTCTTCGCCTTTTTTTTTCTCATTCCCGCTCCGCTCACTTCTCCTCCGTCCCGTTCTCCTCGCTCTCATCTCTGTATTCTTCCTCTCATCTCCATCTTCCCCTTCTGTATGTCTCAGCCTCACGTCGCCATCTCGACTCCATCTCATTTCTGTTTCAGCCTCACAACTCCCTCAAAACCACAAGTCAGCCGTAACCCAACACAACCACAAGTCAAACGTCTCACCAATCAGTATAAATAAAGGGACCAATGCCCCTTCTCCCCAGCAGTCTCTGACATCTCGATCTCAACATTGACGTCCTTCAACCACCCACCTCGCCTCCACTGCTCGATTCCTCATCCACTCCAAACTTCACCACCAATCCTATCCAACAATTCCTCTATTCATCTCTCTCCGTCTTTGCTTCTTTTCTTCCCTATTTCTCTACTTCCTCTCTCTCATATCCCTTCTTGCTCACTCTCACCGTTGCCGATTCCACTTAAACTCAAGCTCACTTCATCCTCCGCTCATACTCATTCCGCCAACTACTTCCCTTGAAATACTCATTTGGCTATTGCCAATTTGGTGAGAAAAAACATTGTCTTCTTTTCCTTTCTTTGTGTTTTCAATTATTGACCTTTTTATTTTCAAAAAACATTTATTTCCTTCTTGTTCAAAAATACAGTGTCTACTACCTGTCTCTGTTTGATCTTATTTACTTCAGTCTTTCTGCTTTGTCTAAATCAAAAGACAACTCTACTCGTGGTAATTCTTCTTTCTTTATTTCTCATATTATTGTTGATTCTTTTTTCTTTTGAAACTTCAAACTCATGTTTTTTATGTTTTAGTTCTGGTTCTTTTTTCAGTAATCATTCCTGTTTTTCATCACTTTCCATCTCCTTTGCCTGGTCCACCGCAACACTAAATAAGGCATCAGGATCCTTCCAAAAGTGAATCTTTTCAAAGATCTGGGGGAACCACTCATCATGCTTTCCTTACTGAAAAATAAAAAAATACAATCCCAAATCTTGTTTGACCTAGAATGAAATATATCCTGTTTGGCTTGGAGAGCTTTTTTTTTGTTTGATAGTGTATTCATAAATTTGAAGTACTGCAGCAAGATCCAATTTCTGTTGGAAGTTTGGCATTGGAAAAGGGAGGAGATTTTACAAAGGACTGACACACTCTTCTAGGAAACATGATATATCTGGGAAGCCAGTGAACATGAAACAATTCCACATTCCACATTTGCTCAGGTTTTTTTTATTTCTTGAGCCAGGATCATCTCTTTGGGATGACTGTCAAAGAGAACCATGTAAAAGAAGAGACATGACTGGATAGCTGTCTCATGGTTTCCATAGCTTTCTGGAAGGTTGGTTGTTGAGGATGATTACATGATAGATGGGATGGTGGGCATGTTTAGGGATGGAATGATGGGCATGACCAGGTATGGGATGGTGAGAGTGACCAGCTGTATGGGATGGAAGTAGAAGGGCTAGAGATGAGTATATCAATTGTTGAGTTTTCCTCTTCTCTGGTCTACTCTTCCCCAAAATCACTCCTTTTTCTTTTCAAGTCATCAAAAATTCAGACTAGATTATTCTCATCAAGTAGCTTGTTTTTTGTTGTTATTTAGCCCCTTCTGAGTCAAATTTGAACTCTAGGTAATCAGTTCTTCTCAACAACTCATGTCTCTACAATGTTTTCTTCTCTTTCCTGATCTTTTTGGGTGATTTACTGAAGACTGATTATTTAGAATTAAGTGGATTATGACATGTTTTTCTTGATTAACACTTCTGGCTTGCCTAAAAGAGAATGAGAAGACCTGTCCAGTTTGTTTCTTTCCAAGACTCATGTTTCTTCTTCTCAGTTTTTATTCAATATGTTTCTGCTATTTATTTTTCTCAACCACATCTTAAACCTCTTGTATTTAGGCTATTTAAACAGGCTTTCTGGAAGAAATTAAATCTTTGGTTCTCTCATTCTTTTTCCATGAACCCTTCCCAAAAAAGGTCTTTGAACTTTTTTGTGCCCTCATCTCAAAAATCATTTTTTTTTTCTCTTGTCTCAAGTTCAAAAATTCAACATCAATGGGTGTGTAGGTAGTGGTACACAGGCGGCTAGAGTAGAGGCTTGCAAAACAAACAGAAATGCTGATGGTCCTTTCCATCTCCAGAGAGTGATAGAGTCAATTCATAACCCAACGTGGTTAAACATTGGCCTGTGGCAGAATCAAAATCAACGCAGTGGTTTGGTGAGAGCTTCATTTTTTTTCTCAAGGAGCCCAAGCTTCAGACCCACATGTAGAACACACTGATCATGGAGTAAATCCTGCAGGAAACCCGATCCTCAAAGGCTCATTTTCCTGCTGCTGATCATGAGCATCATTTGGCAAATTTGATTGATGATAACTATTTCTAAAAATCTTGGATATAGTTTGAAGACTTCATGTTTTTTTTTTTTTGCAGAGAAGTGAGAAAAACAAAGACATCGATCAATGAAATGCAGATTATTCAGATAAGAGTGCAGGGCTTTATGTATACATTACTTAAAAGAAAACAAATTATACAGTAGCAGAGGATTGGAAAAAGAAAAAATCTGTAATTATTGGTTGATAGAACTATAGTACTGCCACTACAAATCTCTGACATGATTGAAGACTCGTTTTTGATGGGAAGTGAGAGAAGCAAATACCCACACAAAAGACTGTTTTAGACTGATTAATATTCGATCTCTTCCACACGCCTCAACCATACATCCAAGATAGCAGCTCATTCACCAACACAGCATTTGCAGGACCCAATATATGTAAACAGGGAAACCATCCTCATAAAAACAAAGAAAACCCCCCATTAATGAAGCTGTGATTAAAAAATCCCACCGGGAATACCCTCAATAAGGAAACCCCAAAGCGGCCAAGAAGCAGCTGGTCGAAGAGTCTCTCCGTCTGATCGTCGGGTCCACAGGAACGCTTCGAGGATCTTATTTGGTGATCAGTTGGAAATCAAGAGATTTGGAGAAAACCTGCACGAAAACGGATGGATTTTGCAAGCAAGAATAGCGACATACACATGACAGAGCCATCCCATCTCAATTGTTGGGGGCTCCCAATCCATGAGCTTGCTTCGGGACGATGGGGAACTTGGGTCCATAAATAGATGACAAAAATCCCGGGACCACTTCACAAAGGGCATTCTTTGGAAAATCCCCAAAACAAAGGGTCCACGTCTAAGGGGAAAAAGTGACCTGTACCCAAAACTGGCAAAAGGGAAGCGGATGATCCATCAGTTCTTGATACCCCGATTCCTCACTCGCACATTTCCGTTCTCCCAGAGACGACGGCTCTGCAAGAGACACTCTCAAACCAGCCTTCGCCGCGTCCATTGCAAGCTGGCTTGACGGACCGTTGAGCTGACGTCGAAGAGGAGCCAGGCCATGTCGCTTAGATCATGATTAACCGGAGCTCCACTCCAACATTCCCCCCTCGCCAGATGATCAGTGCATGGCGGCAAGAGTCGACCAAAGCAAGGAGAAGTTGGATGATGAGAGAGAGAGAGAATTCGCCGGCCTCTCTCTCTCGATGATGATGATGAAACACCAACTAGAATCCAACTCCTTGTACAAGCCCGAGGATGAGCCATCCGTAGGCTCTGAAATCGGCGATGATCGACGGATGCTGGTTTGTTTTCGCAAGAAGATCAGGAGCCGATGAAGGAATCAAAGCCTGTAGTACCCTGTGTGTCACTATATCGCCGGATCTCTGAACTCTCCCCTCCCCAACATACAGCTCCTAGAATCCTCCACTCTCCATGTAAATGTGGAACTAGACGGCCAACACCAGGGAGGTTTATCTCGGATATCCCCCCCCCCTGCTCGTCGGTTATGTCATCTTAACATCAAGCTGCTGGACGCAACAGACTAGTTTGTTGTGGTTAGCATATGATTTTGGGTCAATGATATTGGTTCAATAGGTCAGATAAAGAGTGTAGGCTCATATTATAGCAGGGGCTATGGCAGAGGACGTCTTTTCATTGACAACAGTCACACAATGGCAGTACACACACACCTATATTGAAGCTTTCAGGCAACTTTCAAAGCAGAGCTGATTGGGAGGCAAATCGTTGGAAACTTCTCTACACAGTGGGGATCCGAGGAGACAGCGACGGGATGATCAAGGGCGTAAATCTAAGCGGGACGAAGCAAGCATAGATGACTCAAACGCGCACTCGGCCCAGGCCCTCGTGGGATTCTACTACTCCAATATAGCCACGCGTTGACGCGCTAGGATCGACAGCTTTGTTTGCTTGTTTGGCGATCATCATCATCATCGTCATTCTTTCTTTCTTCAAACGATAGCCCGAGCTTACGGGTTGCTACACCGCTCGGGGAATTCTTGAGACATTCATGTGTGTGTGTGTGGAGAAATCTTGACAGGACCATTAAGCCGCCGCACGCCAGATCAGGATGTTCAGATCCAACGAAAACGCGGGGTGCGTAGATCGGACGGATTGGAAGCTACATAGCCAGATCTCTGTGTAAATCGTTGAGATGGAAGTAGATAGACCAAGATCTTGAAAAACAACGCAGGGCGATTTACCCCAGGATCTTGGCTGGATTGCCCCTGAAGCAACCCCAAGCTTCCATGCTGTGGCCAAGAAGACACAATCTGCATAAGTTTTGCAGGGGAACTAGAAATGTCTCAGTAAGCCATCCATACGGGGGGGGGGGGGGAGTTTTTCTGGGGTCGCAGATCGGGATGGACATGTGGAAGCAAGCTCCAAAGCCAGTTATGGTCGATCAAGAGACGGCTTGGCAAGCTATGTCGCGAGAATCGACTGCAGACACACGCTTGATGTTCCCCCCCCCCTTCATATGAGCTATTAACCGATTTCCCAAACTGGCAAGCTGTGGAATACATACATTGGATAGTCCTGTTATATGTAGAAGCTGCTGACACGGCTCAGGTTTTTAATAACGCGTGCATGACTGGCCAACGGATGGGGATCAACACTCATAATACGCTATGCCCAACTGGTTGTTCTCCGGGGTCTTTGGGGTTGCCCCGATCTACGGCTTCCTCAACCGAGGCCAGCGTAACGCGTTGATTCGGGGGATATATATATAAGAATAATTGCTCAATATAGAGAGCTATATGGGTTCCTTGAGGAGTTTTTGCGAGGAGAGAAATGTGTTTCAGTCGAGCGAGCGCTCCAAGTTTCTCTCCCGGTTACCAGGAAGCCGGGTGGTTTGAGGAGTGGAGTATGTACAGATTAAATGAGAGCCTATTATAACGTTGGCTACAAGGCCCGAGGTACACTGACACAGATATGGATGTGCTGGGTGGGCTTCAGATCGGGCAACCGAGCTCGAGGCTGCTGCAGCTGGATGATCGCAACCGAGTGGATGATGATCAGATCGATAGAGTGCCCAGATAGGCAAGCGAGAGGTGGATGATATGATATGATATGATATGTAGGGGTGGGGGAATTGAGGAAGTTCGATTTAAAGAGAGCGGCTGATGGAAATTTAGAGTTTTCCCAACTCCTCCACCGAAACTGAAAATCTACAAGCCACCAGCTGATTTACCCCACATCTCCCCAGCTTACATAGACTCCTCCTCTCTCCACGGGCAACGGAAGAGAAGAAGACTTAACTTAGCTTACCTTACTCCCCAATTCCCTCCGCATCCAAGCTTCCTCTGCCTCGGACCAGCCTGCCCACACACCCCTCAACCAGGAGCCCAACCTTGTCTCTCCTCTATTATAAAGTCAACCCTCTTCGACCCCATCTCCTTCTCTTCCTCCCCCAGGCCACTAAACCACATTCTTAGTTGTCCCTTCCCCCCCACACTAACACTAACACACTCTCCCATATAATAATAATCAATCCCGTCTCCACTACGATCATACAATATATTCTTTCTTCTGCTACTTAATAATAATACTTAATAATAATAACTAGACACAAAGATCAAAGATGTCTCAATCAACCACCGAATTGAAAGTTGACCCCGTCTTCGCCTCCATCAACCCAGCCTTGTACGACCCCAAGATCGTCTTGGAGTCGAGCGAGTTCAAGGTCTTGGATGACCCCGTTGAGCTCAGCAAATGCTCAGCAGCCAACGAGAACATTGCTTGTTGCTACAATGACAAGAAACAAGTATGTCTGCTCTCGTCTCTCATCTAAACATGTATCATCCTTCTTATCATCCATCATCTGCTGTTGCTATGATAATATGATTCGTTCAGATCCACATGGTCAAGAAGCCCATGCCTAAAGTCCATCCGGGCCAAGTCTTGTTGCACATTCGTGCCACCGGGATCTGTGGTAGTGATGTGCACTTTTGGAAGCATTCCAGGGTAAGTTCGAGATCCTCATCTTCTGGGAGCCCAGCCACAACGGAGACTGATATATACCGTCTGTCTTGCAGGTCGGAGAAAAGATGGTAGTCAGAGATGAGGTAAGACTTTTGTTAACCATCGCCTGTTCTTATCCAGCGTATATTTTTATGTATGTTGAAGCATTCGATTTCTCTTTGTGTTGATTATAAAAGTGTGGTGCCGGCCATGAATCCGCTGGTGAAGTCGTGGAACTCGGCGAAGGGGTCACTGACCTTCAGATTGGTGAGACCAGCAGTCCACTTCCATCTTGCCTTCTCCCCACACCTTCTGAGCCCATCTTTGCCTCCTTCTTTCACTCTGGATCTTGATGATCATAGGGGACCGTGTGGCTATTGAAGCCGGTGTTCCATGCTCCAAGCCCACTTGTGAAAAGTGTCGCACAGGTAAGAATTTTGACCAACCTATCGGCTGTCTGTCAGCTTCGAAGCTAATCCAGGGCTTCTTGCTTTCGGTTGTTGTTGTAGGCTGTTACAACGCCTGTCCTCAGATGATATTCTTTTCGACTCCGCCATTCCATGGGCTCTTGACCCGATACCACGCCCACCCTGCCTGCTGGGTCCACAAGATCCCAGCACACATCACCTTCGAGGAGGGCTCGTTATTAGAGCCCTTAGCGGTCGCCTTAGCAGGCATCGAGCGAGCCAACGTCAGGCTTGGCGATCCGGCTCTGGTCTGCGGGGCCGGGCCGATCGGGCTGGTCACCTTGCTTGCCTGCCGTGCCGCCGGGGCTTGTCCGCTCGTGATCACCGATCTCTCCGAGGCCCGCTTGAACTTTGCGAAGCGTCTCGTGCCCTCAGTCACCACCCTCCAGATCAAGCCTGGCACATCCGAACGTGAGGTGGCCGCTGAGGTCCAAAAGATTATGCAGTGCAAACCAACGGTAGCCTTGGAATGCACTGGATTCGAGAGCTCCATCACCGTCGCCATCTACGTGAGTTCCTCTTCCTCACTTTCCCCGCATTAATCCCAAGTCTCTTGTTTACCATTAGCCCTCCGCGCGATCTATATATCTCAGAGTGTTGGCTTTGGTGGCAAAGTGTTTGTAATCGGTGTGGGCAAAGATAAAGTGACTCTTCCGTTCAGCCACATGAGCGAGAACGAGATCGACTTGCAATTCCAGTAAGCTGATCTCAAAAGTCTAAAGATCTGATTAATCTTTGAGATGATGATCATCGATCCAGTTCGCTGACTACTGAGCTGTGACCTAAACATTGAACATGAATAGATTCAGATACGCCAACCAATACCCCAAAGCGGTCCGCTTGATTTCCGACGGCGTGATCGATGTCAAGCCTCTCGTCACCCACCGATTCCAATTGGACAAAGCCGTCGACGCGTTCACCACTTCATGCGACATCACCTCGGGCTCCATCAAGGTTCAAATCACCGACTTTTGAACTTATAAAGTAAAATTGGTCGTCAATCGGGCTTTTATGAAACCTAAAAAAAAGGCTATAGGTTCCTGTTGAATCATTTGGGTTGTCTGATCAATTGGGCTTGATTAGTTTTTTTAAAAAACAAAATACTGAATGAGACTATGTATTTTGAGATTCATCATGGACCTTAATGATGGCTATGTTTGCTGTGTTTTTTTTTTTATACATATTCTTTTAAAAAAATCTCCATATAATCCCAACATATTCCAGTTGTTTCTTTCTTTCTCCTCAAAAAAAAAAAAAAACAAGATGAATTGGTTTGTCGAAGTATGTAAGCAGTGAGATGATAAATACGTAGACAATCTGGTTGTCCTTTTGAAGATCTGATTTGTCCTTCTCCGATGATGATCCACGAACACTACCTACTCCAAATGATAACCATGTTTTCATTCAAATGCTTCGCGCCCAATCGTCGCGCTCTTTCAGTTTTACTTCCATACGTGTTCCCTCATCGTAGGAAGCACACTGGCAGCTATCTTCATGGGCAGAGGCTATGATGTCTCGGGAATAGCGATGTCTTTATCAACCTGTGTATTGATTTTTCTTTAACAACCCCAAATCTCTGGAAGTTCTGATTTGACACGGCCTAGTTTCCCTCGTGTTTTTTTTTTTTGGCGTCAAACTGAAGGCATCCCATTGCGCTCCACAAGGCTCAAAAGAGAGGAGGTGCACACCTTCACACTGTCTGTTTGATCAGTCATGTCCTTATAGTTTTGATCGAACAGCACCGCGAAACCTAAAAAAAAGAACATGTTGATTTTTTTTTTGCGGTTTTTTTTGCGTTTACGTTTTTTTTTTCCTGTGGGCTGATGATCAAGATGTTTGGGTGGGCGCAGGGTTAGTTGAATACTTCGTCGATGAGTGTATCGATCGTTTGTAGTCTTCTTTTGGCGATTACTCGAGAGGGGGGGTGAGGATATCCATGAAAGCTGTGTCTGCGGAATATGTATGGCAGGTCTGTGTCCGAGGCACTGTCAACTTGAGCACTGCCTGGGTTGGTCGGGGATGTGGTGGGTTGGGATGGCTGACTTTGGAACTGCAACGTCAACCCTCAGCTGCGATTCTCGCTTCCAAGTTCCACCTCGATCACCCAATCCTCCCTCGTCGACCCGCCCCAGAAAGCTACATAGCTTGAAAGCCACCCAATGGCCGTCAACACTTCCGATATCGTGGGGTAAGCTCCTCCTCCGACTCTCAGAAGCCTACATACTCCAATCCACCGAATAAATATGTTGGGTTGTTGACCGATGATCGTCTTGATCTTTCGATCCACACTATGTAGGGCCGCTATCGTCACCTCCTTATTCCTCGCCGTCATCTTCTTCTTCGCGGCGGGACATCGGAAAGTGGGCGAAAAGTTCGGGTGGGTCTTCTCTAAGTTAACGATACTGCAGATCTCCTCGATTCAGCAGCCATCCCAAATCTTGACTTGGTTTCCCCACAACAGGAAGGAGTCCGATAAGCTGAAAAGCCGAGGATTCGAAGTCACCAGCGACGGGGTCAAGATCCGAACCAACATCGATCTGTCCCAGGAGGAGCTCGTCCAACGGGCCTCCCATCGCGCCCAAGTCGTCAAAGATAAACTCCACAACCAGCCCGGGATGGTCAGCTTCGGCCAAAAGAAATTCACGTAATCAAGCCCTTAATTCTCTCCGACTGGCCCCACCTGGGATCCTTCTTCCTTCTCCGATCTTGCAATTCATCTGTCCATGAAATGGACTCATTGGACTCCCGTATTTATTTTTTTTTCTTCGGCCGCCGATCAAGTCATCAAGTCATGTTCATACCCTCTGAAGTCTTGTCAATCCTCAACTTCCCTTGTTCGCCTTTTCTTCCGTCAAATTTGTTGTATCAAGCAATCAGTTCATCTCTCTTCATTTTTTGATTCCAAAAGTTCATGAAGAAATATACTATGTAGACAGGCCTGATCACAAAACCTTCATCCACCAACTCGTCAAAATATTATCTTTCATGGGAAACAAAAAAACACAGGGCTCATTCATGCAGGCCGACCGCCATTGGAGGAGAAAACTGCCAATTGAGTTTCTTGATGAGTCAAAAGGTGGCCGACGCCAAGCATCAATTTATCGAACAGATGAATGCGGACAAAATAGAGCAGACTGGAGACAAGACGGTGGTGTAGTCACCTTCAGAAAGGACAACGCCTACAAAAAACAAAGCATCCTTCACCCAGTTCAACAGAGCCATCCGGCCATGTCCCTGGCTTCCCAAGACACGTCAGAGGAAGAAGTCTACCATTGAGCCGACAGCCAAACAGCATGGCTGTCCTGGCAATCTCTGCCATCCGTCGCCTCTTGAACCATGTTTTGGAGTGGAGGCGCAGATCATGTCCTTTTTGGGGTAGTTTAATCCACGACCCCCATGAATCAATGATCGCATCAGCGGACTAGACAGCCATCACGAATATCTGCTGGGTCGGGGCGGAACATAATGCCTACTTCAGGCTTCGTTACCTGGCGTGCTGCTTCCACAAAGAATCCATGGCGCATGGGATCCAAACAGGGCAACTAATTAATTCGCCTAGGATTGACATCCCAAGCAACGCCAGCTAGAAATTTGTTCTGGTTCAGTTGCGGCTCGAGGAAAGCTCAGGTCGATTGATTACCTCTTACTATATTGGGCTACCCAATTCTTCTAAATGCTTGCAAACCCCCCACATCAGCTGAAATCGTACCTTCAACCAGCGCTTCTGCGCACGTCGTCACTTTGGCGGTGGCCGTTCTCCTTGAACTCCCTGCGATCGGCAAACTGTTCAGCCACGTTCTCGATGGCTGAAGGCGATTACATGGTCAGTCGACGTGGGGGGGGCCCTAAAGTAGAGACTTGGCTATTGATGAGCTCCCTCCCCCCCCCTGTTTAGCGCCTCATGTAAGCTGCCATTCCAATGGATTCAACCGTAACCTCGAGGGTCCACGATTAATCACACACATCTGCTGTGTGAGCCGGCCGGCAGCCATCCCTAGAGGTCTGATGACAACCACTAGTTGAATAAGAAGGCCTTCATCATACGAGCTCATGGAGCCCAATAAACCGCAGGAGTGTATCCGTTGATCCAAGTGAAGTGAAGAAGGACTGGTCAGGGCTAGCGTCGGCGGTGTTTTGTGCGCTCTAGTGGGTTTTCTGTGCGGTGCGGGTCGATGTACCGCCGATTACAAGCACATCGTGGTTCTCAACTTACCATGGCCTATTATCTTCCATCACACCGCACCCCCGTTTGTCGGACCTCTTTTAACCAATTATGTAAGACGCGTGATCACCCTGGCTGGGGGGGGCAAGGAAAATAGCCGACTGGGAGGGATGCCCTGGTGGTAGGGCTAACCCTTGCCCCCCACACACACTCTTGGACAAGCTTGGACATTCCTTTGCTTTCGGCGCCAAGTCTTTTTTACAAACTCCGAGTGCCGCACTCAACTCATAGGTCTACTACATCTCTACGATCTGGGCTTGGAATGGTCGAGCCCCAAATTGGTAATGTTTTGTGTAGATATTTTCAATCCCTTTGTACATTTGGGATGCAATGCAGGATGACTGCAAAGATGACGCGTCCTACACTTCGGATCGCACCAGGCCGGAGCCAAGGGAAAAACTAAACATATGATATCCTTTCTCTCTGGAGTGGCTTGGACAGCGAGTATGTAGAGAGACGGAGTTCCATGCTAAAGCCATTCTTCCTTATGCAGCCAGCTTCCGATCGAGAGAGATTTGCTAGAGGAGGAGGATTTTGTAGTAGTTAGGAGAACACGAACGTGTCCGGCAGCTCTCGGCAACACTCGGCAGGTCTGAGGCACCATGACGAATATGACTTGAGCAAGAGGACGATGGCGTGATCCCCTCCCCCTCAACAGGGTATACATCCCTGGCGAATCAAGCATTCTCCATCGTACGCGGTCCATGGGCGCTTCTCGAACCTCTCCACTCACTCATCCTGGCGTCCTCCAGGAAGGCACCTTTGGTCTATAAAACCAGTGGGCAATTGGCCGTCTAGGTTTCCTTTTTTCCCACAGCCACTTCTATCCTCACGAACTCACCATCAGATCTTCACCAACTCACTCACAAAACCTTCCAAAGTATGTCAACTCATCCCCTCCATCGTCTGCGCTTTTGGGATTCATATTCTCCACCGTGAAACTAAAGCTGTTTTTCGTTCTCTTTTTGCATTGTTAGCCGCTCCAAAAAAATAAATCTATCACAAGATGTTGTTCAAGTACTTGTTGGCGCCTATTGCTTTGGCAGGTAAGAGTTTTTTTTAATATTCCCATTATACTGGAGAAGATTGCTGATGAATATATATATATTTTTCCCCTTTTCTTCTTGGGAAAAAAACAACAGCTGCTAGCGTGCCTTACGACGACCGATCGATTTCCAAGCAAATCGACTTCAAGACGATTGTCTCGGTCACCGAGACCTACAAGCAATCGATCACCAACTCTTGTGGCAGCGACAACGTCCAAGGAGTCGTCAATGACTTGACCCAAATCTACACCCCCGTCGTGGACATCTCTGAGAAATTCCACAACTCTGTTGTCAAGGCCGACTATGTCAACGCCGTAGGTCCTAACATCTATCCTCGAGATTTTTTCGTTTCTTTCTTTAGGGTCTTCGTCTTTCTTGATTACTGAGCGTTCTCGTCTCCGTTGTCTCTTTCTCTCACACCTCTAGCAAGCCAAAATCTTCGGCAGCTTCTTGGTGAAGTTTGAGGCGATCCTCAAGGTCGTGTCCCAACATCCCAAAGTGTACCAAGGATGTCGCTGTAAGTCTTTGCATCCCATGACCAAAGCATATACAAGTCTTAAGAGACTGGCCTTGCATATTCTTCCGACACCTACATAAGCTCGAATAAAGGCTGACTGAAATTGATCTGCTGTCATGGCCTGTAGCCAAAGTGCCCGAGTTCGACAGCAAGTTCAGCTTGATCATCAGCGACTTCAAGAAATACAACGTCGACTTCCGTGCCGCGCTCGGCGGCGTCAAGCTCGACTACGACCTCTGGGTCAAGTTCGGATTCAAGTCCCAAATCAGCCTTGGACTTTATTAAAAAAATTCCATCATTCTCGTCATGAGAGAGAGTTCAAGCTCACAGGATCACGAAATCGCAACGATGAGTTACGGCTCGGTTCGACTGAAAGAAGTAGCTACTTTCTCTTCTGGAAGGCCCCCTTTGTGCTCGAGTTTCTGTTGTAGTCTGAGATCCCTCTTCGTGGCGCTTGTGAACGAACCACTCTTCTCATATCCCTTTTTTCCAAACAAGAAAAAACAAAAAAACTCGTATTTTTTACCCTCATGACCTGATCCCCCCCGCCTGTATGTATAAGATAGTCATGTTTCCCACCCCCAAGTCTGAACAGAAAAACGTACCGCTCAATGTGAGTGGTCCGCGGAATGTATTGTGTTGAAAGTCTCGTCCCTACATGCTCCTCTGAATCGTCCCCATCCATTCTTGACCCTGAGCCAAATCGGGGAGATTTTTATGGGTCCAGATCGCGGTCATTGGATGAAATCAAGTCGCTTGATCTTTGTAGAAATACCAGGCAGCCACTTTTGCGTCGTAATAGTGCGACCAAGCTTCCATGTGTTGTGAGCCACGCTTGCTATTCCGGAGTCGTTCCATGAAACACGTGGTTGCCACTTCCTAGCCAAGGTCCTCTCTTGGCGGGAGGAGTGGGGTATGGACGGAAGATATTGCAGAGTGTTGATTTGGAACAGGTGTCAGCGAGGTATATTTGTCAGTTTAGACTTTGCTGAAAGTTCATTGTGATTTTACAATTGCTTACAAACAATCCAGCGTGGGATGAATGCCGAAAAAAGACTATGTGGACTGAGCGATCACTTCTTGCCAATGGGTACGACTACGCGACCCCTGTGATCACCCAGCTATAAGGAGTCATTTCAACTTGTGGACAAATAAGTGCGACTCTATATGCTGGCAGGAGAACCGGACGCTTTTGAAACCCAATTTGTAGCCGAGAGAAAGCGTTGGAACACGCAGGATCGAGGAGGTGATCGATTCCAGATAGCTCTTACAACGGCGAATCCAGTGCTTGGGTCATGTGTCCTCGATTTCGCTCTGGCTTCAGGACATTGACTGGTGTCGAGACAGTAGGAATCCACAGCCGGAATCTGAGGCAAGCATTGTGGGTGTCGAGGCTTTACTCCACTGATGTCAGAGAAACCTTTGATTAAAAGTGCTTCAAGGCAGTGTTCTTGAAACTGTTCTGGCGAGCATCTGCGCTGATCAGCTGCTGCTTTAAAGCTCCTTCCATGAAGAGAACTTGACCATCCCGCCTGTAATTCCTGTTCGTCACCCCCCCTCCCCTGATTCAAGCTCTGTTCCCACCTGTATCTCGCAGACTTCGAGGACCGACGAGGGATCCTGAAAAACGGCGTTTATCTTATTGTATGGAGTCCAAACAACCGCCATCTCTTCATCTTCCATCCATCGATACGGCCTTGTCGCTTCACTCATCCGGCCCTGACACCATCTCGTCTGATTCGCTGTCTGATCACACTTCAAATCAGTCCGCACGCGCACTCTTTAATCCCGAGATCGGTCCGGTTGGATCAGTCAAACGACATGTTTGGGGCTTTTATTGCTATTCTATCGCGTCTGAAGTAAGTCTTCACTTCAACCCCTTCACACAGGGATCATATCCAATTATTTCGACGACTGGAGAATCCACGTCATGGATCAAGATACTTGAGCTTATTTACTTTCTTCTTTTGCTTCTCTTGTCAAGATATACGCCATAGTTTCGACCACTCTATTTCTACGTGAGTATTGATTACCACGATAAAAACAGTGGTTATTCTTGACTTGAATTACTTGATATTTGTTTAACTAATCATAAATAATCGCAGCGATTGTATTGGAGCAATTTGCACGAGACAATGCGCGGTTGTATCCGGATTACACCCAGCCATGTCCTGGTTCAAGCGGGTCTAGTAGTTGGCAGAAAAGGACGACAACCGGATCTGACCAAGGGCTTTCAGAATTGGTAATTTGCAAGACGAAGGTCTTGGGAGGATGGGTAAACACCAGTGTCTTCCCACTTTACGTTTCAAGTCTCACGATCGCCGTTCTGGCTTTCATCATCGTCAGTATGAGTAGTCCAGCAGATGATGGTAATTAATACTCAAACACAAGCATTTTCAAAACCGTCTAGCAGCTGATCCCTGGGGAAAAATATTTCTTGTTTTGATTAAATTTATGTAGCCAAAATGCGGAAAGTCTTGCTGATAATCCTGGCGGGATTTGGAAGTCTCACTGGCTCGATGTTTTTCTTCCTCGAAAGCTCATCCCCGATATGGCCCATAGCAGGCCTGCTCTCGCTTGTTTCGAACGTTTGCTTGGGCGCTAGCGCAGTCTGTCTCAACAGTCTAGTAAGTATTCCCCAAAGATCTCCAAAAGTAATCTGAAATTAGTCCAACAAGGGTTTCCAACGGATCATCAAATTTCACATTTCAGCTTTCGGGGATTTCCAAAGAAAAGGCTTCCAAGATTTGGCGCAGAAAGGGGAACAACGAGCATGCTACTGACCGGGAATACAAGGCCCTAGTTTCGCAATGCACATCTCAAATCTCTGCAAGAGGCGTCGCTTATGGCTTTGGCTCTGGAATCGTCGCTTTGGTTTTGTGTTTGATCTTCGTCATTCATCGAAAGGGTGATCTGGACAGTCTGAGATGGGCGATTGGTGGGAGCGCAGTGTGTTGGGGACTTTTGACGATACGTGAGATGTTTTGTTTTGTCTTCTTTTGATTCCTTCCTATTTCTCTGCTGCAGTTTCCTAAGGATCTCAACATTTTTTCTTTATTCTTTTTTATATCAGCTACTGGGCTATGGATTCCACCTACAAGATCCTTTTCCTTTCGTGGTGATTTCTCTAATCCCTTCCGGCCAATCAAAAGTTGTAAAGAAATGTTGAGGATGCTAAAGGGTTTCAGAAATCTCTCTCAAACAATCAAGTTCCTGATGGCTTGGGCCCTTCTAAGCAATAGTAAGCACATTTCTTTTTAATTCTCTCAAGATTGAACGGAATCTTTTTGATATTCATTGAATGATTTTCCTCTTTTGTATAGGCTATTCAACAATGACATCAACAGCAATACTATATGCAAAGACTTATCTGAAGATGGAATCCACCAAGTTGATAATCATTGGCATTATCACTCCCTTGATGGGAATCATGGGGGCTTTGATGTTCTCACTGGTTCAAAGCCATCTACACTATTTTTCAGGGGTTGATTCGAACCTCAAGATCCTCAAATCGGTTGTCATTCCCACTTGTGCAATCCCTCTTTACATCAGCACTTCGGTGGTTTTTGGGAGTGATGCTTTAAGCTCTGAACGCGACATGTATCTGGTTGCTGGATTTTTTGGTGAGTGGATCCATACATCAGATGAGATTTTAGTTTAAGCATCAGGACTTCCTTGTTTGTTTTACGAAGGGACTGACTGGAAAGATTGCTTGAATGTTGTAGGGTTATTCTATGGAGCCTTTCAATCGTATTCACGGGCGGTCTATACCGAGTTACTTCCACCTGGACAGGAAGCACGATGGAATTCACTGTTTAGCCTAACCGCAAAGTCAGCAGTCCACCAGCTTTCCTCTATTCTTTGTGTCAAGCTGTTGATTAACTGAGATATGTAAAATGCAGAGCTTCCAGCTGCTCAGGCCCGTTGGTGGTAGGAATCATAACAGGTTTGTGCTATATCTGCTTCTTCTGATAAATGAAATGGGCCTGACTCTGACATTAATGTGATCCCTATTCAAACATATTCCATTTAAAATAAAATAGAAATCACACATGACATACACTATGGATTTGTGTTCATTTTGATCCTCTTTGTGGGAGCCTTGCTAGTCCTACAGACAATCAACATGGAGGCTGGCCGACTGGATGCAGAGAATTATGGATCAGAGAGTTGGATTGATGAAGAACCCAAACATTTTGTCCTTTCAGATAAATCTGAGGAAGCCACCTGATTCCAAGATCCAATACTCTCAAAATCTTTGGGTTAATCAAATTTATTCAAAACTGTTACCAAAAAAAAGGCAAAAGACATATCATCATAATAAGAGTTGTGGCTTTAATTTTGGATTGCTTCTTGGTTATATATATATACATTTATCTAAACATTGAACATTTGGTTGACAAACAACTGGTCTCATAGATAAAAATTGTCCATTTTGATGTTGTTTTTCACAATCATGATACTGACTCATAACAACAGAGAGTCATAATCCAGAAAAGAAAATGTAATGAGGCAAGTTGAGAGTGGGTGGACAAGTGGTGTCAAGCAGTGAGGGAAGAAACAGGTGAAAAAAAAAATCTTCACCCGTAGGTGAATCCATTCTGACTACATGTGTCATCCTTGTGCAGGGGCCATGCTAATCTTCTCTGTATCGTTCCAATTTTAACGTATGCACCTCCGAAGAGGGCAAGGTCAATCCGGTAATTCGTGTATTGGTAGGCAGCTTTCAAGTGCGTGGGTTCGATTCCCACTGGTTGATCATCAGTGACTTCCTGAACCATGATGACTGAGTTCAAGCAGCGCATACAACCAACTCCCACAAGAAGAAACCAGTCAGAACCAGTCCGATCAAAGACACCATTAAATATTTACAGGAGTGCCGCAGAGAGCAAAAGACAGGAGCGTGATGGTCTTGGTTGGCAGTCTGTGGAGTTGAGCTACAGACAACCTACTTCAATTTTTTATGTTCAGGCTATAGAGAGCAGATTACCATTTCCGAGTCTGTTCCTGGTCTCATCCCGGCTCTCAACAACAAGATCAATAGACCATCAGCCATCCTGTTGACCGTAAGATGATGCCCAAGGAACTCAAGCAAGTCTGGGATGGATACTACTCCCAACGAGCGTGGAGAGAACTGGACTACTACTACCCCACAGAGACGGTCATCTGCCAGCTCATCCTGGCCTTGGTCCTACTCCTGCTGACCAGATACCTCCTCAGGCCGAGTGCTCGGAACCGCTTCGAGCTGTACACCGACTACCACTCGCCGATAATCGACCAGACCAACCAGCACTCACTCCGCTCGATCATCCACAAACACTGTCCCTCTCTCGTCGGCCCACGCGCTTACTTCTCACCCACCCCTTGGCTATTCAGGTATGTATGACCACCACATAACCGTCCCTCTGCTCCTTCCTCGTATTGTTATTGACACCCATTCTCTTGTCTTCAGTGGTCATCTGCAGGTTCGTTTTCTCCTTGTCCTTATTACATCGTCCATCGTTCGAAGAAATACAAGAACTTCGTCGCTGAAGTGGATTTCTCTCTCCTCGATAAACAGACTATTTACTCGGCCTTTGGGAATTTCACCAAGATCGATCAGGTTGAATATGAGAGGTACGATGACCGTTGGGCTACCCAGAAGATAATAGTAATTGACCACTGTTCATTCATCGCCTGTGAAAAAAAAAGACGGATCATCAGGGTGCCGGATGGGGGCCAGATAGCGCTAGACTTCACGCCGCCGAACCGGTTCTCGAACCAGAATGACCCAACACCGACCTTGGTGGTACTGCACGGCCTGACCGGTGGCTCCCACGAATCTTACGTCCGCTCGGTCGTCGCCCCCCTGACTCAAAAGTTTGGATGGAGAGCCGTGGTGGCTAATTTTAGAGGCTGTGCTGGGGCCCAGTTGACTAGCCAAAAACTATACAAGTGAGTCAGCTCTTTCCTCCGCCCCCTCTTCTTGAAGAGTTTCACCCGACGAACTGATTTTTATTTGTAGTGCAGGAGCGACTGAAGATATCAGACTGATCATACAATACCTCACCACGATCCTGTGCCCCCTAACCCCATTACATGCGATCGGATTCTCATTGGGGGCGAACGTGTTGGCCAAGTACTTGGGAGAAGAAGCCGATCGAACTTTGATCCGCTCGGCCGTCGTTGTCGGTAACCCGTGGGACCTCTACTCTGGCCACTGTTTCCTAGAGTCCAGTTTTCTCGGTCGGATCTATTCCCGGGCATTGGCGTCGAACCTTAGGTCAGTCTTGTTTTAGCAGAAGAAGAAGAAAAAAGATCAATAAGGAGCTTTAGCTTGACCCAACTTTTGAATATTTACAGGGCACTGATGACGAGACATCTGAAAGTCTTCAAGGCCCGCTCGAGCCCGATCGATGTTCATGCGCTGTTCTCTAACCCGTGCCAGTCGCTCTACGAGTTTGACTCGATCGTCACCCGTGCCCTCGGCCGGTTCGGCTCGACGGAGGCCTACTACAAATCCCAGTCCTCAACTCTTGTTGTTGAATCCGTCCGGGTCCCATTACTCTCGATCAACGCCCTCGACGATCCGATCGTCACTCCTGACGCCGTCCCAGTCGAGAGCGTACTCGAAAACCCATACCTGGTCGTCTTGGTCACCAAACATGGCGGAGTTGAGTCCTTTCTCTGATATGTAAATAACCGATCATCGCGCTCTTTTTCTCATTTGCTTATCTTGCAATGATATCTGCATTTTTCTCTTGATCGTCATTCTTGGGTAGCATCTCGGATGGTTTGAGGGTCTTTGGAGACCCAAGAGGATGATTGACCGGCCGATCATCGAATGGCTACGAGCTATGAACCAGGCCATCCAGATCAACTCCACCTCCCCTCTCGACCATACCCTCTCCGAGCCAAGTCCCCAGACCCCCGACATCCAGGTACTCTCGGTCCGTAAACTCGGCCATCCTAATGCATCTTCCGAGGAGGTCTCGGGCACCATCCAAGGATTATAGATCTCTTTCTCTCTCTCTCTTCCTCTTTCCCGCTTATCTGGCACTCTTGAATCATATATTTGTAGAACTTCAAACCAACACAAACAACTTGCAAACACATTCAAATGGAGGAGAAAAGTGATAACACATTTTTCATGGACTTGAGATTGATCACCTCCGATTTTCGCTACTTTTTCCCCTCCCTTCCAACAACTATAGAATTCTTCCCTCTTTATTCTTGGATCTCTTGCCTCTCTTGTATAGAGTATTGTTCTAGATAGATTCGATCATGTTAGATATTGCAAGCTACTTCAACCTATAGATATAGATAAGAATGGATGCAATGAGATACGTCGGCTCTGGTCTCCGGAAGTTTGTGCTGGACCATTAAGCAGTCTTGATTTGGCCATCACTAGATGTTCTTGTTTTAATGAAATGGTTCAATCTTGACTGGAAAACTCGCAGTCAAATATGGTCAGGATTTTGGGCAAATTTGAGATCTTTTAAGACAGTTTTGAATTGTTTGCTACCTTGGATAAGTCAAGCTATTGTATGTACACCACAGCCATATATTATATACCAAAGGAAGGGATCCTTCTTATTTTCTTAATGAAGTTCCATACATATTATTCTTTAATATATTCAAGAATGTTGACATGAAAACTTCTTCATTATCACTCATTTGTTTGTTGGTGGTTACTCCTTTATTATTATTTCAAATCTAACAGAAGATAACAGGAGACCCAAACTGCCAAAGAAAAACGTTTGATTATTAATTTTTGATCAGATTGCAGTGAAATCATTGAATTCGAAAGGTGGTGTGGAGAAAACCAGAAGTTGTATCTTGGACTGGTGAACTTGGCAAGTAGCCGCAGTCGGTCCTGCTGCGGTACCCCGCTTCTGGCCCCTCTCCAAGGGGCCGGCGTCACTCGCCCGACGCATTCATCCCGAAGCCAATGGCCGATCACCAAGAAGCCAAATCGTAGGACCCTCGGACACAAGCCAGAGAAAACATCGATTAGCAGGTAAAATGAGGTAAGTACATCCGTCAAGGAAGATCTTGTGCTTTGATCGGATTGCTTAGATTGATTCTTCCCCGCTCGACAGTCAATATGCTCACGTGCCGAAATCCGAACTCGACGAGGAGAAGATAAGAGCCCTGGAAGAACACGAGATCGCTACTGGGCCCCTATCAGGTTGGGTTGCCAATCTTCGACCACCTCCAAAGAAAAAAAAAAAAAGAATCTTTGAGTCTCACCAGCTTACCAACCCGTATTGTTCTTTTTGCCCTGATACTCCAAGTCCTTCAATCTAGTGTCAAAAACCACACCCAGATCCTAATCGCTCTTCGCAACAATCGGAAACTTCTGGCGCGTGTCAAGGCGTTCGATCGACATTCAAACATGGTCAGTCCACAAAGATCGTTCGACATGCCTTTTCTTCTCCTCTTGTTGCTAACGTCACCAATATTCTCCCGTGTGAAGGTGCTGGTTAATGTCAAGGAGATGTGGACCGAGTTGCCCAAAGGGAAAAACAAAAAACCAGTCAACAAAGATCGGTTCATTTCAAAGATGTTCTTGCGCGGAGATTCAGTCATTCTTGGTACGATTTCCTTGGTTACCGAATTCAAACTGTTACTTATTTTATTTTTTTTCATTCTCAATTGGCTGACGTTACGATTTGAACACTATGATCATCTGTACATATAGTCTTGAGACACAATGCCTAGGGGACCTTTCTAGACCTCATCGTCTCGATCCGCCAGCTGTTTCTTTTTTTTTCCCGAGATTAGCGATCCCAAAGTTAGTGGTTCATTTGCAGGTTTGCAAGTCCGAATGCTTGCAATCCGATCTCAACCTCTGTGCTCTGTAACCAATTTGTAGTCATCTCTTGAGCTTAGAAATAACAAAACAAAACAAAAGAACACGGTGTGGGTGTGATTTGAAAGTGGCTCAAGTCTTCGAGGTGGTCTCGGGTTGGGAAGGATGGAGATCGGCACTTCTGCTTCGGCCCCTTGAGCTGCATAGCCAGGTTTCTTCATGAACAGTCTACTCCTGGATGCAATATTAGACCGAGAATCGTCTTTCCAAATGGATTAACCTCTCATCGGCAACGATCACATCATGTGTCAGGCATCAGGGGAAAAACGTGACTGGCATGTCAACATACCAGAGCATTTGCAAGCCACTTGAGTATTCATACATCAGCACAAAGCAATTCTTTCCTTGTCGCTACGTAGGACGAGCACTGCAAAATGACCCAAAATCATATTATATGCCATTAGGCTCCGCAAAGCTTTTTGTGAGGATATTGGCTTCAAACATGGTCTGATATATCTCATGAGCTCAGATTCAAAGTGTTTGTAACTGTGATCCTTCAGCATCAGTCGAACTGTACAAATTGTTCCAAAAAATGATTTCTTTTTTTTCTTGGAGTCACTGTGTGTTGATTTCATTGGTACTGGATTACCTTCTGAGTGATTTTTGAGTTCTCATCCATTTATATGAGTCTTCGGATTTTAACTGCTCCTACATACTTGAGCTGAAAAATGAGCATGTTATGAGCAGCTTCAAAATCATCTCATATCATGATTTTTTTTTTTTCCTTTCTTTCTCTCTCAAATGAGTCTCTCTCTCTTTAATCCAAATCGATGGGGATCTAAAAGGCTTCAAAGCTCATCTTAGAATTATGAATCACAAGGAATCACCAATGCAGTTCCAATAAAAACAAGTCAAGCTGTGACTCCATATTAGTTTAGCACTTTTTTTTGTAGGTGCAGTCATGCTTCCAACATCCCACATCTTGTCCTTAACCCTCTGAAATACATCACAAATAACCTGTCTTGGCAAACAGTCAACAGTGTTCAAGAATGATAACTTGACCTGTTATTTACCTGGTATAATTTAAGCAGATTTCTTGGTTTCACACCTCATGCATACCTCTTCTCCGCCAGGAAAGTAAACTGGTCATTAGGGAAAGGTGTATGCCAACAAATATAGCATACCCAATGAGATACAGATGTGAGCTTATACAAAGTATTTTGACTAATATTGGGGTTGGTCAGGAAAAAAAGGTATTGGATGGATCAACATTTGTGGTTGGGCTTCAGACAAGGTCTTAATTACATACGGCCCTTAAGCGAGTGACAGGTTGAGGTTGGTAGACTGGTGAGGAAGCTAACAGAAGGTCGAAAGATCAACCAAACACCGTTGCAAGAACGCCTGCCCCCCTTGCGCCGGTGAAGAGCGGTTGAGGAGCTGGGTTTTGAGGTTGTTATGTCATGGCATCGCTATTCAGCTGTATGCTGGCTGAATCCACCGTGATGATCGGGTTGCGAGGCCAGCCGGCGCCAAGCAATACACAGTACCAGAGCCGATGAATCAAGAGGGTTTTTTTTGTGTGTGTTTAGTGGGCACATTATCATACAAGTAGAGCTTGGGATTGCAGCGGTTGGACACGGCAGACCCAGGGTGTTGTGGAGACCGTCACACGCAAATATCATAAAAACCGCGAAGCAATTCTCATTCTCCACAGGCCGAGATATAATTTGGCTATCAGCTTTATTAGTCTCTTAATTTCCTCACTACCATGTTCCTCATGAATTTCTTCCAGACGAAACACATCGGTTTGGCTCTGTTGCCTATGATCAGTCTTCTCCACTCCGGCCAGGTTGGACTTGCAGATGGTCGAGAGGTCAATTGCAAGCTGCATTTCGAGAGTGATGACAGCAAAGCGGATGCCGGTAAGAATCAATTAACTCACCACTCACTCATAACGCATTCATATCGTTGAGGCATACACCTCTTCCCTAATCTATCTCAGCCTGCTGGTCGGACGAAAACACGAAGTTTACATGCCCAAAAACTTCCTGCAGGTCAGTTAAGTATCCCGAGCGCCACTGTGAGTTGGAGCTTGATTCCGTCCATCGATGATCATCCAGACATGATGTGTTATTAACTCTCCTTTCTTTTTTTGACACATCCCCTCGCGTTAAACGGATCTCAGTTGGTCAATTGGTGTATTTACATTGTCTAAACGAAGATGCAGCGAAGTACGACGTTAAAGTCCACCCACGTAGCTATCACCATTACCCCAAGGGAGACCCCAAATGGAATTTTGTTCCCACCGGATTCGTTGGTAAGGGTTTCCTTAGAAAAAATCGTCCGTGAAGGGGGAATACTCAAAACCCCACTTTCTTCGGCTTCCATGTATTTAGCTGCCTTTGACAACGTCAGTCATCTTTGGTATAACTGTCTATATGATAGCAAAAAGAATAACCAGGATACCTATAGTCAGTCTCTTTGAACTGCTGACCATCTCACAGCAAACACATCCGAACTGACCCAGTCGTCTTTCTTCAAAACAAAACAAAACAAAACAAAGCCTGTTCGGATTGCAAGCAAGCATCATGATTTCCCAGCAGGGCAATCCGTCAAACTGACTCCCCAGACCTGCAAAAAAAATTGGGTTTTCGTCTTTCTTTCTGCAATTAGCGCTATCAAAAAGACACTTGTTGGATTTGTCTCTCTGTATAACTCATTCTCCATTTCACTGTTGTTTTTTTACTCGTGCATGCAAGGGAACTGTATTTGAATGTGGCACCAGTTGAGGTGCAATGGGGAGAATATAAATGAGTGTTGTTGAGGAAACAGATCAATCAATTACTTTTGGTTAGATATAATACAGCGTTCTAGAGCAAGCTGGGAATTCCTCATGCATTTTCCTAAGTATAATAAATAACGTGGATCATTGAAATCTGTCCATACAATATAACGTTTTTTTTGGGCTTTGAGATTTTGTCTTCAATTTCCCAACAAGGTCTTCTGTTCTACTCTGAAAAGGAAAATGGAGGGAGAGGAGACAAGCTTTCAGATCAAGCCATAGTAAGTAGAATCAGATGTGATTTGGTGAAGCAAGAATGATGCTGTTAATACCAGCCATTTCTGGGTGACAGGATGATGGCAAAAGAAGCTCCCCAAAGCCGATATTGGACCATCCATTAATGCTTAATTCTTGAAACTTAGCATAGACAGTGGGGGCCTTTTCCAACCCCCTTGACTTGACTTGTCATATGTTGTAGGGCCAGAAAAACAAACAAAAGTTCTCCTTCAAGTGTTTTTTTTTTCACAGCCATGTCTTTGTCGAGATTCCAACTGATTTGATGAATTGAATTTGTACTATGTTATATGTATAGTTGATTATGAATGAAGTGGGTGGTCAGTTTGGTTCTTTTGGGAGTTGAGGCTGATTCAGTGTTTCTTTTGGGACAGGAATGTGTCGGAGTGGCTGACTGATGAGGTTGTTTTGGTGAAGATGAAAGCGGATGGCACTGCTTGATTATGTAATCCTCCAATCAGTTTCAGACTTCTTTTTTTTCGGTTTTTTTTTTCGGTTTTCTCGATCAAACAACTTCATGCAATCTTCAGGCTTCAATTACTCTTCACTCCTTTTTCCCCGTTTCCCCATTTCCACCTTCTTTCCTTCTTTCTTTCTTTAGTTTACATAGTCACTCATTTCACTCTTCACCATGCTCTACTGTGCTGAGCCATACCATCATCTGGTCACTCGGACCTCAACCGGAGCATCAAGAACCCTGCACGAACTCATCCAAGCAGAGCGAACCCACGAAGCAAGGTAAACAAAGCTCATCAACAATCCACATACATATACTTCCTTAGTAATTCAACCTTCTGCCTCCTTCTACATAGCTTCCGCGCCTGGAACAAGGAATCCCTCGTAGCCAACTCGGCCATCAGCTCATGGGCACTGGCTGACTCGGCCGACGATCGAATCATCGTAAGTCTCAACCGAATTCTTACATAAAAAAAACACAAAGAACAAGTGACTTACATACTCAATTATCAATCTTTGTGTCCCACAGGATGTCCTCAACCAAGTCTCACAATTGCTCTCACAATCCGTCAAGGCTCAGAACCAGTATGCAATCGCACTGGCTGACTACAGAGGATCCCTCAAGGAGATCACCATCAGAGAATCCAACCTCAGAAATATCAAACGAGAGCGAGAGATCCTACTCAAGCGACTACTCAAACTCAACAAACAATCTTCCATCGCCAATCCAACCCACTCACTCCATCTACAGATCAAACTAGATGACGCCAAGAGAGAGGTCTCGATCTGTCAAAGAAACCTCAAAATCGCCTCAGACGCCCTCTTCAACGCCAAGCAATTCGCACTCAGGGAGGCACTCAGACTCAAACTGACCAAGTTTGAACAACTCGGACAGACTATCAAACTCAATGCATCTCAGGCCATCCAACTACTCGCTCAACTCGATCCAACCGAGCCCAACTCGAGTGCTACCGATTGTACGTACACCTTACTTACTCATCCTAGAAACCACCAGGCTGACATGATCTACCCCATCTGATTCCAGCCGAATTTGAAAGCTGCGACGAAGATCCCACCCTGCACGATAATGAGAACAACCCAAAAAGAGGAGATCCACCACCTGGCCTACCCCCAATTCTCAAGCCCACCCAAGCCACCGAAAACCAACAACAGTCTAACCCCTCTGCGGGACTAAATCAACCAGACCAACGACCAGCCACTCCAGAAGCCCAAAAAGTCGCGTCAAAATCCAAACAGCCTCGCGCGGTCCATGGAGCGGCGAAGAAGCGTCCACCTCCTGCCAAGGTGCTTGTTAAGAAGCGCGCCTCGATCGATTCTAGACAGAGCCATGCCACACTACCCACCCACTCCAAACGCTTCACGATCTCCACCCAGCCTACTCGGATACAAGCTTCGCACTCAGATGCCCGACCCCACCACGTGCGCAAGCGCTCCCAAAGTCTCACCCTGGAGCCATCGATGGCCCCACGACTCCATCATTCAAATATGCTAACTTCCCAGCTCACCCGCCGAAGCTCCCATCGTCAGCTCGGACGGCCCTACGCTCAGAGTGTCAATGGCTCCACCGCCCACCCAAACGTCGGCAGCTTACGCGCATCCTCTGGCTATAAGACCCGCGATTCGCTGGCCTCATTCAGACTCTTCTCCAAAGGCATGCTTTCGCGTTTGGGTGGGAAGGGTAAGCGGAAGGAGGAACTCGGCCGGGCAGAGCCCTATGGTGCACAATGGAGTCGCTCCTCGCATAGCCATCAGAAGAACCCCGCCGGCGGAGTGGGTCCTACTGCACGGGACGATAGCTCGCTCTGGCCGACGATCCAGCCGGTGTCGTTGTACTCCTACTCTGAGGAGGACTCGGACGATGCCTCGAGCAGTCAGGGCGACGACGAGCTGGAGACTGCCGAGGTGGCTGACCAACTATCCGGGCTAGCTCGTCCCGGGCCAAGCAGCCGCCCGGCGATTGTGGCCCAGTACGGCGCTGCAAACTCTGAAGCTGGGCCGAGCCGGTCCCTCGCCCCCCGCCGTCGCTCCTGGGGCACACCCACCACTCATCCCGGTGCACGACGTAGGACCCGCCCTGTCGGACTTCGTGTCAGCCCCTCAGACGCCGAGAGCTCCGGCTCAGAAGCACCCGTCCAAGGGCGTCTGTTGACCGACTATCTCCCGCCCGACGAGCTCGCCATCCGACGCCGTCGTCAACTCGAACACCGCAAAGCGATCGAGGCGCTAACCCGTAACCTGAGCAAGATCGAAGAGGATCGCAGACTGGCCACCGCACCTACCAATGCCAATCGGGTCCTCCGCGATTATCCGGTCTCCTTGGATCATCATCAAACTAGAGAGGGACTTGGCAGCGACAAGGAGAATCAACCCACTCATCCCGACGATGATGATATGCATCATCATATGATACAATACGACAGCGACTTTGATCTTTCGGACAACGAGCAGAAAGATCAAGTCGGCCAGCAGCTACAGCCGCAACAGAGAGACGAGGTGCCGGCGGGCAGGAGCTTTCAACATCACGACCTTGAACGCGTCCATCGTCAGTTGGCCGACCAGGAAGAGATCATCAGGAGTCATCGAGAAAAACTGCATGGGTTCTTCGACGGCCATGCTTCGAGGGATCGTCCGGACTTACTCGAGTCGCGTGCTTCGCCCAGCCACTTTGAGAATGGGTCTGCTCTTCATGCTCATGGTCTTCAAGCACATCAGGCTCATCTAGAACATCTAGAACATCATGGACAAACACATCAAGGACAAGTACAACAAGGACAAGCACATCTTGAACATCACTCACAGGCACTTCAAGGACAAAGTCACCAAGACCATCAAGGACATCAAGGACATCAAGGACAACAGCAAGACCTCGAAAGTGAGGCCGAGTTTGTCACAAACACTCAGAAAGCTATGGGCAATATTAAGGCTAGGTTCACGTTACTTGGAATGAATCCTTCTTAATCCTTCCTTTTTTTTGTGGTCTTCTTGCTAAAAAAAACTATATATATATATATATGATTCTTTCTTTCTCTTTTTGTTTCTTGATCAATTGATTGATTTCTTTCTTTCTCTTTCTTCTTTTTTGATTTATATTCATGGAACCCAAAAATAAATAAATAAATAACATTAACCTTAATGAGTTCAAATCTTATCTTATCAATTAATCTTTTTGTTTTGTGGTCTGCTTGGCTTTTTTTGTTTCTTCTTAATTTTTATTGCATTTTTAGATTCACATATGTGTGTGGATGCTTTGTGTGTTTTTTTGTTTTTTTTTTTAAAATAATTAGATTTTGGTACTTTTTAATCTCTGTTCAGGTTTTTGTTTTCTTGAAAACTTTCTCTTTTCTTCTTTTTTGGGAGGTTGGGGGGGATTTGTAGGGATGAATCTGGGAGAGGATGTGGATATTTGGATATTTGATAAAAAAACAAAACACAAAAAAAACTTGATCTTCTTTTTTTCATAAGAGAATGACAAAATGTTTATTCGAGATCTGTCTGATCAACTCTTCTTATAAGGTTTTTATTATCTTTCTCTTTGATTCTTTTTTTTCTTCTTCTTCTTTGACACTATCAAATCAAGGGTCTTCTTCATAAGTTTGTCTTTCACATCCTCAACAGTTCATTATTAACTTCCTTGACAGATACAACAATACAATCAATCTTTCAAACGCCGGCCTTATTGTTTTTTTTTGTCTCATTCAAGTTTTCTGAAAAAAGGAAGGGATTGGTTGGATCAAGATTCACATACATACTTTTATTACTTATCTTCTTGAGCTTTCTTGGATCAAATAAAGAAAGTTGTTGATGTTGTTTCCTAGCACATGTTTGTGTCTTTATTACTCAATCTCATTGGGCCAAGGGTGAAAATCTGCCCCCTCAGGGACTTGTATCCTCACAAGATTTCTTCTGGATCCTCGATTCGAGATCTCATGTACGGAAGACTACAGTCGTTCATTCATTGAGAGAGTCAGATCCTTCACGGAGAATTGCGAGAAGTTCAATATATAAACAAGCTGAACTTGAGTGTAGGTAGGGTGCTCTATCCTCAATTTGTTGATCTTTCTGCCTTCCGAATCTCGAGACTTCAAGCTCACCTGTCCCAACCGGATATATTCCTTCGAATTAATCGGCTTCTACATCCATGAGTCCCAAGGCGTTCGTACTTTTCCACTTGGGGATGGTGACCAAAGCGTTGTCAAGACAAGCTGGAATTGATGCCTGCCACTTACCCAATGTTGCACGATTTGTAACCTATAGAATGACTGAATCTCATCGTACGAGTAAATGGGGGCACATCAAATATATTTGGATACACGCAACGAGCCAATTAATCAAAGTCTGCTCAACCGGCTTATAAATGGCTTCCAAGTTGCTTAACTTCTGTGGCGGCTGCAAAAACCACACCTTCCCACAGACGCACTGCCATGCCGACACCCGTATCTTGAGCCACGGCGAATAGTGTTGCCGCCCATGGCCAGGGTTCACATAGAGTATGGAGACATCAAACCATCTTTTACTTGGTACAATGATGCGTTTGGTAGAGAGACTCTAGGGCTTTCACTGTCCATCTCCTCCGCACCTTCCCAATCGTGGCCTCTTACTCGGTTCTATAATCATCAGTCCATTTACAATACGCACAATAATAATAATATAACTTTCTCCTAATATTGTCCTTTCATGTCTCCCATAGCACCACGTCCACGGTGTGGGCTCCCAACAAATCCTCGGCAATGGCTCCACGAAAAAAATCCTGTCCTTCCTCCAAGGAGAAAGTTGACTATTGAAACTCGTGAGCTGGCCGGGCGAGATCAAGAGCATCCGCCTAACAGAGACATCAATGTGAGTCCTCACTAGCCTTTCGACTCATACAGTCCTTCTTGGTCTCAATTCTCATGCAGTTTTTCTTCTATGCCTTGGCCGACACAGCCTATTCCAGTGGAATCTCCAACTCTCGAGGGAGACTACGAAGACTTGTTGGACTGCTACAGTACAGACCAGGAGCCTGAGACAAACTTTTCACCATTCACTCCATTTGAGCACAATCCTTCAACCAGGTTCCCTTCTCCTGTCAAGTCTGAAAGCCACAGGCTTGAAACATCGAGCCAATTTCATCCTAGTAGTAGAGCCATTCAGAGTGACATTGGAGAATCGATGAGCCCGTCAGGATCCGAGAAGTCGTCCGGAATGAAGGTCCTAACCAAGAATTCTTACGGGAAGAGCTTCACCCGCAAACGAAGCAACTTTCCTATCAGCACTCCTCTCGAACTGTTTCAAGTTCCACCCTTTAACCCAAGGAGCGCCCATATTACTCCTAACCGAAGAGGAGGATCGCTGGACTCTTGGGTCGACGAAATTAATTCGGTCCACAAAAAAGCCACACAAAAAGATAGCGCCAAACTAAACTATGTAATAAATTCTCTTTGCTTGTTTTATCTCTTTGTCGGAATATAACACCCACGTCTACAAATTCACCCCCCCCCCCCCCTTTTTTTTTTCTATGCTCGATGATTTCACAAATAGAAAAAGGAAGACGAAAATTTACGCTTGCAAGCCTTGAAACAAACTCGAAACCATCGGCCTCTCGGCATGAGCGGCTCGACTAATCCTGCTCCCGAGGTAAGCCTAGATACCAATCAACTCATGGGGTCTAACGATTTGGTGAGTCTGAACGGAATCATGTTTAATGAACGTTATAATGAGCCTTGCTCTCATCTCGCAAAACTTGCATGAACTCATCAAACAACAAATTTTTCTGTTTTCGTGTTCAACAAGCTTTCCTCACAAGAAGAGGCCAGTTGGGACGAAGACGATCTCCTGGAAGCCTATTCTTCATTCGACAGCGAAGGAAGCTCGCGCGACTCGTATTCAACGGCCTCCAATCCCGGCAATGACATCCAACTGAATGTCAGTCTTGTACGCAGTGGCGGTCACGAAGCCGGCACTGACATTCAAGACTTCAAGCAAACTACACTTGAGGTTGGACAACTCTCAACGTTTTCTCGTCGGGATCTGCTCAAGCCACCTGGCTCTGCAAACTCGGATTCCTCACGTTACAGCATGGAATCCGTCATCGGATCTCATTAATCTCTCATCCTACGGACATTAGTAACCCTGCGTCAAAGAACGGCTCGAATATGTACAAAACTGTTCAAAAATATAACAAATCAAGAAAAAAAATATCGACCTGGAAAATTGGTCTTAATTTATGACTTGTTGATAAAAAAAAACTAAACTCAATGGAGCCAAAGTTTCAATTTTCAGTCATCTATAGGCTGTGAAGGTTTCAAAGTGCAAATCAGATCATACTCTTGAGTGTCTCTCTTCTCATTGGCATTCTAACAGCCCTGGATAAAGTTTCCTGAGTATCTCCACCCACTCCAGATTAGATAGTGCCGGTTATTCTAAACAATTGATCACTGGTGTGTATGTTGTAAATCAAGTGACTCTATTCATCTCATATGAAGGGGAAATCAAAGCAAAGTCAATCCATGTTGTTTTCATTTAACAGTTGTTCATCTCATTTCAAAGTTTCTCATGTCATTTGGAAGTTGTTCATACCATTGAAGAGTTGTCCATATCAATCAAAAAAGCTGTAGCATATAAGATGAAAACCTACCAACCTTTTCCCTGTCATACTACAATCACTTTTCTTTCACTTTCTCTCTCTCTCCTTTTCTTTCTCTGATCCATTTTTTCAACTGGTCTAATAGAGCTGACTAGTTTGGTACAAATCAAAATGAGTGGGTTGTCACCATATCCATCTGCAAAACACCTTTTATCTCCTTTTGTGCATATCCTTTCCCATATGTCACCTTTTACCTGCAATAATGTTTAGTAGAGACAAATTTATATTTGGTCTTGATTGATAGATTAACCTGAGTTCTGCTTCTATTTGGGTAATTAGTGTTGTACCCCCCACCTGGGGTTCTTTTTCTTTCTTTCTTTTGACATTCATAATAACAGACATTTAGCTCCTCATTGTTAAAATTCATTTAATTGTGTGAAAATCTCCCCAGAGGATATCAGGTTTTGTGAAAAAAAAATATATATATATTGTCACACTTGGCAATACTGGGCATCTCTAAGACCCGGTTCCAGGTGGAGTAATCAGAAGACAGTCTTTGACAGCCCAAACACTTCCTGGTCAGTTGAATCTTGTGATCCAGAAACTCACCCAGGTCAATTGGATTAGGGGATTGAAGCTGATCCCTCCACCTTGCCTTGCACACTTTTTTTTGATGGTGTTTTGATGGCATGCTTTGTTAATCTTGATTGGGAGACATGATGGTGATGTGAATGTTGACAAACATCAATTAAAATGCAAAAAAGTGGTGTGCTTCCTTGCGGGGTAGGTCACCAACAACCTCCATTTCAAAATATTTTGGATTGTCATCTATGGAGATAATAAAAGGAATGAGGTCTATGATATCAAGATGTGTGATCTCTCTGTGCTTAGTAAAGTAGGAAAACTGATTACAAAGGGATCTATGTTTTGTAAGCCAACTTGCAAAGTAACAGTATGAGGATGTGAAGATTACCTGCAATTTCTGTTCTTGATTTGTGTGAAGCCCCCCACGTACTGTGAGGTTCACAAGGTGAAGTCTCACAAATTATTTAATATGAAATCCTCCTTATAGTCCTATAAATTTTCTTTTCTTAGCTCAGTAGAGAATTCTGATATTTCACTCTCTGAGCAACGCTGTAACAGATACAATACACTGTGTGTATCATGGAGAATTCTGCAAAGCTGCATGGCCAAAAACCAAATTTGTTGAATCTCCTTGCAAATAACAGCAGATTGGTCAGATAGTTTTTTTAGGGTCTTAGTTAAACAATGTGGAAAGTAAGGCGTGCCCTAGGAGATTTCTTGCACTTCTCCGCTCCGCAACACGTCTTGCCCCAATTTGTTGTCCGGGGTAACTTGCTTGATGGTCTTGAAGGTAGGTAAAAATAACACTTCTTTTCTGTGTTTTGGTAAGTAATAATCTAACTCTCTCTATCTCTAACAAGTCTTTAGGCTAATACACGATTCACTCCTAAGTCACTCTGTTTTTCTGATATGTTCTGAGTCATGCCTCCCCCCTCCCCTTTCTCCCTTCTACTCCAAACTTCACTCTCCCCGTTATCCCACACTCAAGTTTCCTCCTGCCTCCCACAATGTCCTCCGCTGTCACTCCCTCGGACTCCGCTTGTCACCCCTCCAACACCTGTCGGTCCAGGTACTCCTCCGGCCGCACTTGGACAGGTCTCCCACCGCCCCTTCCGCCTCTGGCTTGCTCCAAACCCCGCTTCCGCCCCTTGGTGCCCCCTGCTCCTTGTAGCCCCTCCGCAGTATACACTGAAACCCCATTCCGCAGTTGGCCGTGAACTCCAAAGTCCGCCAGTGCCCGGATTCCCCGCAGCAAGCTTTTCGGAACCTTGCGCATTCGGCCTACTTTTCCACGCTTTCCTGCGCCTCGGAAAGCTAGACTTTCTACCAATGCACCACCGCTTTCCTCAGCTTGCGTGTGTAGTGTCAGCTCCGCAAGCTTTCCGCATCAGCCGTGAGCATTCCGCATGCACCCAAACAAACTGGCCAAAGCTTTGGTCAAGGCGCACTCTCACCACCACAACGACTCTCAAATATTGGAGTTCCAACTCCCAAATATTTGGGACGTGGCTAAGACCCCCTGCGGACGGTCCGCAGGCCGTCCACCCCCGGAGATGGGAGTTGGACCTCTTAAACCTTCAACAGGTTTGGGAGTCAATCATCCCAAAAAAAAAATAAAAAAACCCGGGGGTTTTTGGGAGTTGATCTTCAAAAACCCCCAGGGAGGTTGCAAGTCAGTGCCAAACTCTCAGCGGCGGAGAGGAATCCCTCTCCGCCGTTGAGTGTGTATACTCTCACCGGCCAAGAGGGATTCCTCCCGGCTGCTGGTACACCCTCATTGACCAAGAGGGATTCCTCTTGGCCTGTGAAAGAGTACAATCTCATGTACACTCTCACCGACTGGGAGGAATCCCTCTTGGCCGCTGAGAGCTATACACTCTCAGCAGCCAGGAGGATTCCCTCTCGGCAGCTGAGAGTATACACTCTCAACGGTGGAGAGGGATTCCTCCCGGCCGGTGAGAGTGTACACTCTCATCGACCAAGAGGGATTCCTCTTGGCACTCTCACCGTCTGGGAGGAATCCCTCTTGGCCGCTGAGAGCTATACACTCTCAACAGCGGAGAGGTATTCCTCCCGGCCGGTGAGAGTATACACTCTCAATGGCAGAGAGGGATTCCTCTCCGCCGCTGAGAGTCCGGCGCCGACTCCCAACCTCCCTGGGTGTTTTTGAAGATTGACTCCCAAAAACCCCTGGGGTTTTTCATTTTTTTATCTTTTATTTTTATTTTTTCTTGGGAGGATCAACTTCCAAACCTTTGAAGGTTTGGGAGGTCCGACTCCCATCTGCGGGGGTGGATGGCCTGCGTACCGTCCGCAGGGGGTCTTAGCAACGTCCCAAATATTTAGGAGTCAGAACTCCAATATTTGGGAGTTGTTTAACTAAGACCCTTTTTTTATTGGGGCTCAGATACATAGTGATACATGGCAGATACATGGCAGATACCATATCTGTTTCAGCGTTGCTCTGAGCTAGTTGCCTGCAATAAAAGACACCTTGGTTCTAGAATTTCTCTTCAAGACTTTGGTCTTGTCTGTCCTCATAGGCAGTGAAGAGCTGCCAGCTCTTACACTTTTTTATTTGAGTGAAAAGGTTGAGGAATGTTATGATTGCCTAGAAGCAAACTGATCTTTGAATACTGTCAGTCACAGAGCACATCTACATGTGACCAAAATAACAGGCTCAGAGAGCCAAACAAAGTGTCATGCAATCTAACACCAGTGTTGGCCTCCATTTCACAGTTGTTGATGCCAATTTCAGACCAAGACATTTTCCCAATTCACGCAACACCCCCAAAAGGGGAAAAAGGTCATCATTTGGGGCAAAAACAATATCACCATGTCGTATTCCCCAAAATTGGAGGCAAATAATGTTTTCATAGTAAGTGGATGAACCAAGTAACTGCAATAATATCCATAATTTATTGATATATTAGCAAAAAAGAGCTATTAGATGTGTGAAAGGAATCAGGAATGAGCTATCAAAACTTAACTGAATCTTAAAAATCCTTGATCACATCATCCAGCTCTCATATTTCTCCATAAAACTAATTTATGGCATCACCAGAACCCTCTTGTGCTCCAATTCAAAGCTTGCATAGCTACAACCGGCCTACATGGGAAATGAGCCCCAATTCTACATGCAAGATTTGATTATGCATGAAGCACATGTAATTCTGATGGAATCAAGCTTTCATAAGCATTATGTGCATGTGAGCAGCCCCCTTAAATTCCAGAGCCACTGCACAATCACTGCAGCTCACTCAATTACGCTTGAGACTGAAATGGGCCACAAAATCAACTATGCATGTATGATATCATGTCCTATGAAATTCCATCAATTAAAATTTACTTTTCTAGAGATGGCCCCATTGTATCCAGATATCCGCTTGCTTTTTCAGCGGAATCCCACATCTGCATCCGCTGGCGGGTATCCCTCAGCCTTAGAGCATCTCTAACGGTCTGGGGGTGGATTGGCTTGGCTTTGGCGGCCTGGAGTCAGATGTCCCAAGGTGTCACCAGTGTCACAGATGTCCTAAATGTGGACTGTGAAGTTGAGCGGGGGTGGGTGAAACACTGCCAAAGCTGCCAAACTCAGCAGCCAAGGGCAGCTTTGGTCAACCCCCGTGATGTTCAGCAGCTCCACTAGCAGCCAAAAGAGCCTTGCGGCCCGCTGAAGTTGGTCGGACGTCCCGCATCAGCAGGACCTTTGGAGATGCTCTTAGCGGTATCCAAGTGGGCATCCACAGATAACCGCCCCTTAAATGGTCAACAAGGCAGAACCTTGCCAACCGGAGGAAGAATTTCCAGCTGGCAAGGTACAGGTACATGTGGCTGGAAGGTCTTCCTTCCGGTGTGGGATGCTTTATGGTATATCATATTGATAAAATAAAAATTTTATTCATTTTCTCTTTAATTACACAGGAGATATCAATTCTGGAGAGTAGTTTCTTGAAGCAGGCTAGCAGAAAACCATGTTGCGTTGATGGTATTAGTTTTTAGGGTCTGCCTTCTTGAATGCCAAAGATGTCCCCTGTGCACCCCAAGGATTTTTTGAGTGCACTACCACATGCTCCAGATATTATTTATATTGTATTACACACCAAAAGGGGCAAAGATAATTTATTTTGGAGTACATGATTTTGTACTCCAAATAATCTGGAGTGCACAACTTTTCCCTCCTGTATACCTTGGAGTGCATACCCATGCACTCGAGTGTTTTTGCTTTTCAGATATTTCTGGAACCCAAAAGAAAAAGAGATTGTTTTACAATATTTGAAGGGGCTTAGCTAATTAACTTCCAAACTTGGGAGGATCAACTCTCAAACTTAGTAGGATCAACTCCCAAATTTGGAAGTCATTGGGAGGGCTGCTTGGAGACAGTCCCAGGATGTCCCCAGCGCCAAAAAACTGGCTCCCCCTAAGCTGTGGGAGTCGTTCCTCCCATTCCTGCAGTATGAGTGGGAGTCAATTCCAAAATTAAAATAATAAAAAATAAATCATTCCCTGGAAGAATCTTCTGGAAATGCCCTCCAAATATTGATGGCCTCCCAGCCGTCAAGATTTTCCGACTAACAAACATCTGCCCCAAACCCCCCAAACAATTATTTTTTTGAATTGTCAACTCCCAAACCCACTGACAGGTTTGGAGGATCAACTCCCAAAATATTGGGGGAGAAGAAAAATAGGGGCTTATACATGGTCCAGCACAGAAAACATTTCTTAAAATTACAACTTGGACTCTGAAAGAGCCAGATTACAAATTTGTGCTTTTCCCTCTTCACTTGCCGTTGCTAGGGGAATCCTTGTTAGTTTCTTTTCCTTTGATGTTGCAGCAGTATGTTGTCTTGGATTGACTGGAAATGGTTCAGCTATCTACAGGCTCAAAAATCTGTTTAAAGTTGGCTTTGGAACAATCAACCTGTATACTAGACAAGTCATTCAAGCTATTTATGAATTACAATCTTTGTTAGTCACTTGACCTACCTATCTGAGAGTCAATCCTCCAATATTAGGAATTTGGCTAGATAAGACCCTATTTGAAGACTGGTTGACAGATGGACAGAGAGAATTTTTATTTACTTTTTGGAATGCCCAATGATCCAGTTATAGACAGTCAGGCCCTTTGTGTGTGATATTAGTCTTGGGGTCCAACTTCAAGAAAAAATTCCAAATTTTTGGAGTGAAGCTCTAGTGTGCACTCCAAATAGTTTGGAGTGAAGCTGTTGAGCTATACATGTCACTAGTTTCATTCTGTTACTATAGCTACTCTTGTTGTCATGCCTCTTCCTGTTTTTCATCTCTCACATGTCACAATATGTGACATGTTGTTTGTTTTCATTTGTTCTTATACTGGAGCCAACAGGACTGGAAAGGATTCCTTTTTCCTCATCCTTTCCAATCCTGTCGGCTCCAGGTCAGTTTCTTTTCTTTTTCTCTTTTTCTCTCTATGTTGAATTGAACCTAATCCTTTCCAATCCTGTCGGCTCCAGTTCACCTCAACAGAAGCTCTGTGCACTCCAAATAGTGTGGAGTGAGCAGGATTTGCACCTAGAAATATCTGAAAATCAAAAACACTGGAGTGTATGGGTATGCACTCCAAGTTATACAGGAGGGAAAAGTTGTGCACTCCAGATTATTTGGAGTACACAACCATGTACTCCAAAATCAATAATCTTTACCCCTTTTGGTGTACAATCAAATATAAATAATATCTGGAGTCTGTGGTAGTGCACTCAAACAATCCTTGGGGTGCACACCTTTTTGGTGTGTGTAGGGAAAATCTGTGGTGTGCAAAAAGGCAGACCCAAATTTTAAACTGTCTTAGTGACAGTCTCTTACATAAAAATATTACTATTGATATCATAAAAGACCAACCAATGCAAGAGAAAGTGGCACAATTGTATGCAGTTGACATACAATTGTAGTACAAAGGCATCTTTGTAAGATTTTTCCTTGCAGTAGTACACCATTATTGGAAATGCTTACTTTTTCCCCTGGAATTTGGATATTTAACAAACTTCTGGATATTTAATGAAGGAAATCCTGTGAAAATCTGTGGGTCCCCCAGTTTTGGTTTAGAGCCTTAAAAGCCAAATTTACCAGTAAAAATATACACTTTTTGGGTCTAAATTGAAAACTGCCCCAGATTCAACAGGAAGTTGTCCACTGAGTTTTAATCTTGAAACTTCCTCTTGTGCAGATGTTGGTGGTCAAACCAAAACTTTTTTTGTAACTTGGAGGTATGCTTCAAGTGTGGGGCTCAAGTTCAAGCTGCACAGATTCATGATTGCTCAAGTTAAGGATGGTTCACATTTCAACAAGTTTAGCAATTTGAACTTATCAGAAAGAATCAGTTTTAAAACTAAATGTGACTGCAGCCAACACTGCAACAGATACGATACACTGTGTGTATCATGGAGAATTCTGCAAAGCTGCATGGCCAAAAACCAAATTTGTTGAATCTCCTTGCAAATAAAAGCAGATTGGTCAGATAGTTTTTTTTTATTGGGGCTCAGATACATAGTGATACATGGCAGATACCGTATCTGTTTCAGCGTTGCTGCAGCCACTGGAGGAATTCCTGCCAACCAGATGGCTTAATTTAGAGGGACTGGCTAAACTTTGTTTACTGGTGAAATCTTGAGGTTGCACAATTTTCACCAGCCAATAAATAAGCTTCAGCACTCCCTTGCAAATTTACAAATTTAGACAATGGGAAGTCCTCCACTGGCGCCAAAATTGTATTTGAAATTGATAGTATTTTATTCAAGCTATTTATTAGATTTGCTTTTAGGTAAACTGGAATTTCAGAAGTGGCAGAAACCCAAGATCAAGAGGGTCCAAATGTCTCTTGTATGAACTGGTACACCCACATCCAGCACCCAGATGAGGGATATGTCAGTAACTTTTGTTCGCTAGATTTCATTTTGAGCAGGGACTGAGTGAATGCGAAAAACTGGCCATCTTTCCCATGAGGAAACACATGTTGCAATGACTTCACACACAAACTACTCAAAATGTATTCTTATCCATCTGCCATTGAACTAATATGGAATGTAATGGAGGTAGCACAAGGTTTGGTGCTGTTATGTATATTTATAGTAAACTGAGTATCTAAAGGAACGGAGATTTTGTTTCTAGTAAACTTCTTCAAAAATGGAGGCTTCAGTTCATTCAAGTTGACTTTCAGGTCGGTCCATCATCAGCCCTGTCGAACAATTGCACCGCGACAGGATTCAACCGACCTGTTTCAAGAAATGCTTTTGAATAAAGCGAGCCGGCCGGTCTGTTGTCAAAGTGAACAACCTGTTGAAATAATTTTGCCGATAACAAGTTTAATACGTTCTGCCCAAATACGGAAACTTGAAGGATGAAACACCCCGAGTGACGTGCTCTACAACTTATGGCAAAATAACCTGTTTCAGGTTGTCATCAGATTCAGAATGGACATGCCAGTAGGCTCTTGGCCAGAGCAAAGTATACTGAGCGAAGCTTCGGATTCGGAACATTTCACCGTTAAATGAGATTACAGAGTACTCATTTTGTGTCGCGTACATCGACTATAACTCTCACACTGAAGAATTGGTAAGAACCAAGCAGAACCAGGGCTGCTTTATAAAACAACCGCACAACGGTTGCTCAAACAAGAACCATTTTACAGCTGAGAAGCCTGGTTGCTCTGTAGTGGTACAGAATGTGTCGTGTTTCGGGTCCTGGTTATATCATCACTTCGCTGACGAGAGCAAGCTTCAACAAGACTGAAATGAGCCCAACTAGAGTGTGGCTCACTCCTCCTGGCCTCCCAAGTGCTATTCCGTGTTATTATTATCGACATCTTTCGTTCCTTCTTTTCTAACCTTACGACCGACCCGACGCCTCGGGGATTCCACCGCACGACCGCCTAGTGGTTAGCTGCGATTTCAAGAGGGCAGTCCCATCACTGCTCACCAACGAACAAAGGTAAATGCCGATCGAGCTTCGTCTATATTATCACTGTTCAATCTTTTAGATGTGCTCTCCTATCGGTGCCAGAGACGGCCTCATACATGAGACATATTCAGTTCGACTACCCAGTCCTATGCCTTATGAATATGAACCAGGAAATACTGGTTTGTGCAGCTCTCCAACGGCACCATCAACAAGAGATATTGTGATACTATATTAAATCACACGATCCCCCCTGGGCTCAAGGGAATTATCCAATTCTGAGGCTGCTGACAGCTGAAGCTGATGCTTCAATCCTTTTATCGTTTGGAGTTATACCTCGATCTCTATGTCCGCCCTGATGCTTCCTTCACTTGCACATTCCATGACCATCACGGCAGTGTTTCGTGCACGAAGCCTTTTGCCTCTATGCATATCATTTCCCCTGAAACTTTTTCCCTCCACGACGCGACAGAAAACGTGTGAAGATTTTCGGGTAAATTGTGATTTTCCAGATTAGGGCATGGAAAACGTAAACCCCTATGTTCTGGTTTCATAGTGCTCCCAAAAGCTACAAAGGTTGCCACTTATCTTGCAAAGACAGGTTTAATCTGATTGATCTTCTAGACTCAACTCTGTTAAATTACAATGTCCGCACTATGCTTCAAACACATATTACGCATCCCGATTCTGAGCAAGTACTAAACCCCTGAGGCCCAACTCAAGCCGCCAGGTTTATATGATTTTATGAGGTGCTGTCTTTCAAAATGCACGCAACATATGATGAATTCTAGATGTGTATCCATTTATGATTCATATTCTACGCTTTTGCCAGAAGTGGGTGGCGGCGGTTCTTTGGCACCATTTATAATTTCAGATATGTACAATATCCACAAGGTTTCAATTTCCATCTCCATGCACTTGGAGTCTGGACATTTGAGTGCCGGAAAGGAGACTCATTTGTATTCAACCAGATATGCAGGCGTGTTGCGCCAGCGATACCGTTTCTCGGATGTCAATTACCTGCTTGCGCAGTTGGATGGCTGTACCTTTTGTTATGATGGGAGGCTCATACCAAATCGTACAATTGTTGGCCTCAGGCAAAGTTTGGTGAAGTGCAAAACTCGAAGCTGTTTCATTTCGATTCCAGTTGCAACACTGTTGAACCGGTCCGATTGACCACATTCATATCCCATCTCCCAACACTTGATTACACCGTATCATATCGTTTAGCGGCTAGCCCAGATGGCTCATGTCCCTACGTACAATTCATTGGCATCCAGCAGTACATACACATAGAGTAACCAAGCATCTTCCTTGTGGATGGATATGAACAGCTCACATGATTTCTCAGGACTTACTCATATCTTATTCCAGCTGCCTTCAGCAAGCTTCACGATAATCTTTGACGGTTCACGATATGCTCTTACAACATATCATTTATTTTCTCACACAGGAAATGATCTCCATGTCACATCATACGCGCTCCTTAATTGCCCGCGCGTCGCGCAGTCAAACTAAGCACACTTGACTAGCAAAATGTTTCGCCGTTCTTTGAAGATCAGCAGAATATACTCAAATCTATCTAACCAGTCGTTCCAATTCCCTCTCAAAATTATACGTCAGCCGTTCTTGCCGTACCTTGCATTGGGCATTTCTCGCGGGTTTCCTATTGAGCCCGACCAGGTGGCTTAACACAGAATGGTGTTCCTAAGAGTGGCAAGCACTTGACCATCGACACTACATGAGCCAAAATGATCTGAAGCTCACGTTTATGCCAAAACACCGTGTGAAAGAATAACATAGTGGCGCTAAATCACATCTCTCACCTTTCCGTTCTGCGCCTTTCAATCATGCTTTTGGGTGGAGTCAGAACAGAATTTGATTTCTGCAACCACACTTCTAGTTTGGACATCATCATGATTGGCCAGCGGCTAGTTGTAACACTACCTATCGCGTGTTTGGCATTCCCTAATAGCACGGGCTGTCTTCTTACTTACAGTAAAGTTTTTCCAATGCCCAGATCACACGTGATTTTCCCTGTTTGAATATATATATTCATGGCCATCACTACATCTTTAAATTCGTCTGCTTGCTTGAGGTAGTTTTAATTGAAGCTTAATACCAACTGCGGCCATCTTAGGTTCTTGTGCAATAGTGTTGAATCTCAATCTGTCAACACTTTCCAAGCACTCAACCTCTTTCTGCCGTCCGTACCCTAGAAATGATTCAAAAAGACGGGTACATAGGAAGAAATTTGTTCAAATTCCGGTCGAACGACTTGAATGCTCTCCACAATTCAGAAACTGGCCTGTATTCCCTGCACTTCACCTTCCTTCCTTCTTCTTCTAAACTTACTTCCCAAGAAAAAGTGGTCAATACATCCTCTCCATACTCGAGTCTCGTTCCTTCAGCAATAGCAAGCCTGCCAACATCGGCGCGCTTGTCCAGAATCCTCACCTTGACCCTTTCCCTTGCTGCATCACTTTCATTCATCCAATCACACAAGGAAAGATTTTGAGTAAGTGCCTGCCAGCGTGGAGCTCCAGCATCTGCTTTCCATTTCATCCTTTCAATTACACGCTGGGACCAGTCACCGAAGCATAATTAAGGAGTTGTGATCGCGAAGATGGACGAAATGGATCTTCTGCATCTCTGCTTCGGTTTACGTAGAAGATCCCGTACCCTCTACTTCCTATTTACCCACCACTTTCTTCCTTTTGCTGGTGGGCCTAATAGTTCCGGCCCCATGGTCTGCCATCAGCTTCAGCAGACCAGATCAGAGAGAGGGTTTCAGAATAGCCAGATCTTGGTTCCAAATTTTCTCTCTAGTGATCTTTTGGAATGATTCATACGTACATAAACATATAGGGGCAAGCTATTCTGACGATGGCCAGCTATTTGCCGATCCACCTTAGTAAAAAAATAGCCGATCTCGGGACATTCAAACAGGCCGAGCTCAAGTCTCATTGTTTTTTTCAGCGCTTTGAACAAGCAGGCTGACAGTAGCAAAGGCATCCTCTGGTTTAAAGGGCTGCTTTGAATGCTTAAGATATTTGCTTGCAGGTCTCGAAGTCAGAAAAATACTGCCCTCTCAGCTTAACTGCAGCCAACTTGAATGGCTTTTCCCATTCGCATTGAGATTCACCTTATACATATTTCCTCTACATTCAACAATTCTGTCCTGCTCGAACATCTTTCTGCTTCATCTTGACGCAATCCCGCTGACATTGCACCTTTTGGGACGCGTCCTTTGTAGGAGAGCCTACGCTCGTTAAGTATCGGTTGCCATTGTTGTTCAGCCATCACTTCTGTCTTTCTTTTGAACCGAAAAAAAAACCGCCATCTTTGAGGAGAAGTTAGTAGAAGTTTTTCTATTCCATGACCCTAAACATGTTCTGACGGTAGTATATTTTCTTGTAGTATTTGTGACTCAGAAGAACCTCTCAACAGACCCTTCCGGATATTTGTTTCAAGATGGTCACTTCTCCAGCTTCCAATGGGGGGGAAGTAAAACCTCATCACCACCGGAACGCGTCTCGCTCTCCTCCGCCGACACTTTCCCTGTACCAATCCAACCTCGACACTATGCGTCTTGCTCATCGTAGTTTGATCTCCCCTCCATCATTCCTGCACAAAGGCGCGACGTTGTCACCGCCCATGCCATACGATTATGATTCGCAAGTACCAGATTTGTCAGACAAATACCCCCGACCAGGATCGGCTGACGGCATTCCCCTGGCCTGGGCTAACACTGCCAGTCCTACCTCACCGTTCTCCAACTCTCAATCTACCATTCTCATTCCCACTGCCGGAACGGCTCCCGACTCTGGGTCTTCTGGATTGGCGTCAGTTTCAAATCCTTCAATCGGCTTCGAATATTCCACTCCAGCCTCTACTTTCTCATTCCCTTCGCCCGTTTTCTTTTCTGGTGAAATTTCATCCATTCAACAACGGCATCTTACCTCCGACCACCTGCCCTCCTGTCCTCCTGTTACACCTTCCCTAGAGTGCCACTTATTACCGTCTGCCTCTTCTCATGATTCTCCCAATCACTGGACCAATCACAACCTTTCAATTCACGCACTATCATCAGCGCATCTGAGTTCATCAAACTCCTCCCTTACTCATTCCGATCCCCTTCCTAGTGATAGTAGCAGCCGAAGTTGGACGCCTGATCAGACTGAGCATAACCCACCTATAGGACAAGCAGAGCTCAACAACACTTCTCACCAGTTCCCCCCCTTGGGTTCACCTGCCAACTTTGAGAAATTGTCTCAACCATTCTTCAGTCAACAGGGTCTAACCTCGCCCCCTAACTCGCGCCCCCCACGTCCCGATAGCACACTGCGAGCATTGGCACCTAGTCAGCGGGCCGCCATCTATCCATCTGATGCTTCCAGCGACGGTCAGAACTCCCTTTTATCTCAGCGGTCGCAATTTTATGAAGAATCGGAGACACTCATACCCAGTCCTACTTTTTCTTCTCATCCACTCAACTTCCGGGCCCATCTGAACGAAAATTCTAAAGCCCATTGTTCACCTCTGACGCCTCTTAGCATGGATCCTCCAAGTCTTAGGTTGATGAGCACCTCTGCGAACTTCGGAATCTCGCCTGCATGGTTCGAACCAGAGATATTTTCTCCTTTAGATGGCGCTCCTCACTCTGACTACGAAGGAAACGGCAATCCTCACCTTTTGCTTCCCCCAAGAAACTCCCCACTATCTGGCGACCCTCTCCGACAACCCTGTCACCTTTTGGACGCCAAAGGTCATTCCGGACTCGGCAGTCCAATCCAGGCCGGCCAACCTGGTATACAAGCCAGGTTCATGGCGGGAAAACGTCACGGAAGCACCAAATCTATTCCTGGTTCTTCTTGTCGCGTTCCATTGGAGCCAATCTCAAAGCCGAACGAGGCCCGGGCTCTGGGGTGCAACAAGAAAAAGAAACGCGAGGTCAGAGAAGTGGAGGCCTCTTGCGGTACTTGTGGCAAGCGAATGGCTCGGCTCACTTTGAGGGGTAGTCCTGAAGAGCTTTATGTTGCCGATGGCTTTGACGTTATCCACACTTGCAAGCCTTGCCAAGAAGGTAGACCAGGACGGGCCCATACAAACCTCAGGAATGAATTAGGATCAGCCCCTTTTTCCGAGCGGGCCATCGTCAAAATCGAACAATGCCAGGAAGTGGATATCCGGCCCGACTCTATCCCTCAGGGTGCAGTGACAACATTCAGAAAACGCAATCGACGGACCGACGATGTGACGGCACCCACTACTTGCGACTGCTGCGCGCGGCAACTCGGAGTTGGCGGAATTGTGCCCCGAAATGGTCGATCAGCCATTCAATTCGTGGTTGAGGTGGTGTGTGTTCATTGCGTAAGCAACTTCAGGAGATGTACAGACTGTGGCGGAGGAGGAGGATCACGATTGGGGTGAGTCAATTCTTTTCCCTACAACAATCAGCTCATCCTGACAGAAGAAGCAAATCTTTTAGGGTCGGCAAATGGAGATGTAAAGAACTTTTCTCAGATGGCCGTCGTACTTGTATTCTATCTCACCAAAGGCAAGGCGCCTCCACCGAAGTAATTACAACAGTATGGAAAGTGAGGCAGCTCACGGAGAAGCCGGAGTTAGATACACTTGTTGGGCAATTGAGAGAACTGGTCAAACATTCTTTGTACGCTGCTCTAGCAACCCCAGAAGTAGGTTATTTCTCTCCCTTCTTTCAAAGCTGGAAAGCTCCTCGCGTACTGACTGATTGTTCCGAAATAGATCTTAGAATCGGGCTTGGCGCGAGTCAGCAAATTTGATGATATCAAAACCATGTGTAAGCGTAACAATCCAACTCTTCAACATTTAGTTCTCATGAAAACTGATAACTGTTTGCCTATAGACGCGAATGGATGGAAACAAATACAGCCGCTTATCCACGAAGATGTCGAGACTTCAACAGGAAAGAGAAGATATGTGGGGTTGAGATGGACAAAGCCACATCCTCGCAAAGGCCCTAAGCGCGGGGCAAACAACACATGCGATCAGGTTTCCCCATCAGTCAGAGAGGGCGAACTGCTATTAGAGCCAGGTAAAGAGCTATCTGGATTCGTACTTTCTGAGTGAGTTACTACGCGATCCATTTCGAGTCCAATCACCCGACTGATGTTGTAACTTTAGATGGGATATGCACAGAGGAACGTTTTTTGTCTCAGTGGCGATGCCCTGGCAAAGTGGGGACGCGTTAGAATCAACCGCGGGACTGGCACACAAGAGCCTTATCGAAGCAAAGGCCGAAAGGGAGCAATTAGTCGACGACCTGGTCAACCGAGGCATGAACCGCCGCGAAGCTAATCTCCGCTACCCACCCATCCGCCACCTGTAAGCTGAACTGAAATGAATGTCGCGGCTGAACTGAGCCGATTCACTAAATTTCTATTTCTTCACTGTTTGGTCATTCTCACTCAGTTGGACGATATTGTTTTTTCATCGGGAAACCCGCCTGGTTCAATTCCTTGAAAAAAGAAGAAAGTTCATGCCCTTGGAGGACTACTTATCGCAATACCCGGACGCGCAAAGAGATATGTTCCCTCCCGAAAGAGATTGTTACGTCCCACGTGATGAACAGTTGGGTTGGAATGTATGGGTCCGAAGAGAACATGGGACTCCTCCGAAAACTCCGCAATGACGTCTCGAAAGGTCTCGCCCATCATGCCAGTTGCGAATCATGTTTTCCTGAACCTGGAATGAGTCTTGATTGTGCTTGTAAACTTAGTTTGTCTTGATTTTTTGTTGTTGAACTCAGTCGACGAATATCACATCTTCTCCACAATGACAAAAAATCGCGTTTTCAAACCTACCGTTTTCCCAAATTTTGTTCCTGTCTGTTGCTTTGTCCGTTTCTGGTTTGCTTGCTTTGGGATTATATGGTTATTTGTTGGCCTCCTGATGGAACATATTTTCATCAGAATATCATTAATAAGAATTAATTTGGGTATTTTAATAACACGATGGTTTGGTAGAAAGAACAAAACTTTCACCCCTCCAGTAACACATTCTTAACAAAGTATGTAGCATTGATACCTGTCACTGCTAGTTCACATCAATCTTTTAAATTGAGGGCACAAAGTCACAATCCCTTCTATCCATTCCCACGGAACAAACAGATTGTCAAACACCTATTTCACACTACGGCTCGTGATCTCATTACCAAGCCGTGAGCCCAGTGTCTTCAGTCTGCTGTTGTATCAGATGTGCACCCAACCATATTTATGTGCAGCCCATCTGGTATGTTTCTGAGGTTCATTTGGCATGAAACTAGGAAACTACTAAAATGTGCCACAACAGCCCATGAGAAAACAAAGGTTTCCTGGTGCCTCACTAGGGAGGCAGGGCAGTGACCCCTCTTGATTCCTCAGTTTAGGCTGTAGCTCCAAGCACTGGTGTTCTTGGACTTGAGCAACATTCCTGTCACCCCCAATCTAATCCATTCACACTTATTCCTTGTCTGCATGTGTTCTGGGTGCCAATATTCCTATTTTTTCATCTGTAACCCTCCTTTGTCCCCTCACCACCAAGGGTTTTCAAGATGGACAAGTGCGGGTCTTGGGAAAGAGTCTCCTTCTAGGATCTACTCATGAGTCACAGCTTCCCAGAACTGGGTAGCCAGCTGTTGAGTTTTCAGCTCTCTGGTCTACTCTTCCCCCAAAATTACTCCTTTCTTCACCTTTCTTTCCCTCCTTTTTTTTCTTAAATCATACTGTTTTGGACTGAATTATAATAGTCTTTCATGTCTAGTTTTTTGTTGGAACTTATGCACTTTTTTAAGTCTAATTAGAACTCACTATAGCAACAACGGTGCAACCATTACGATACACGTATCGTACTTGAATTACATTGTACTGTACTTTTTTTTGAGTACGTGTGTACTCAAGTACGTCGTATCACCCTAGTCAACAAGTACGATACAAGTACATTTATGGTGTTCAAAATTACCTAAGTGAGTTTTACTTATCTGCATAATCTACTATTTTGGCTGGGACCTGTCAGCATACTTAAAACTCAAATTGACAGGTCCCAGCCAAAATTGCAGATTATGCAGGATTATGTCAATAAGTAAAAAGATGTTTAGGTAATTTTGAACACCATAATTGTACTCGGCCGGCAAGTACACAATTTAAAATACGCCCGTATCGTCTCAGAATTTGGGGCGATACGAGTACGGTATTCAGCGTACTCAGTGTATTTTCTCCCCACTGCCTTAAATTGCATTTTTTGTTAAAATTAACAGTGCATTTTGCAGACAGTTAGCAGAAAAAATTTACTTGGGCAGGATTTGAACCAGCAACCTTAGCTTGAAGCTAAGACACTATACTAGAAGTGCTGCCTTTACCAACTAGGCCACCAAGTCCCTGCCTGACACGGATATTTAGAACACACTTGATTACAGAATTTCAACATTTTTTAGTTTTGTATGATTATGGGGATGGGTTTCACCACTATTACTGCATTTCTCAATGCTTTTTTGTGTTTTTTTCTCATTTTTTTATTTTTTTTTTCTCATTTGTTTCTCATTTTTTTCAATTTTTTTCTCATTTTTTCCTCATTTTTTTCTCATTTTTTTCTCATTTTTTTCAATTTTTTTTTCTTTTTTTCAATTTTTTTTTCTTTTTTTCAATTTTTTTTTTTCAATTTTTTTTCTTTTTTTCTCTTTTTTTCATTCTCATTTTTCACTTTTATTTTGGGTCAGGCTAAAGGCACTCCTAGTTTTTACTACATGCACTCCAAAAATGGATTGAACTAGAAGTTACTTGAAACATAACTTCATATCCCGCACTGGATGTGCAGTAAAATAAACCTGGATATGTAGTATTTTTATACTTTTTTTTGTTCACCTCTTCACACCATTTTTTTTTCTTTTGAAAAAAACACTGAATATCCAGTTTTTTTTACTCCATATTCAGTACTGGATATGAGGTAGTGTTGAAAGTGAGTGTAGTGTTTCATACTCCAAAGTCTAGGCCAAGTCAGTATTTTGAAGCATAATATGTGTGAAATCCATTCAAATTCTATCAAATTTTGCAAGTATTTCACACCTTATGCTGCTGTCTTGTGCTAACAAATGGGGTCCTAGTTTTTATTGGAGTGTTTAACCTTGAAATTCAATTTATTTAGAAATGTAAAAATGATGCACTCCAATCATTTATGGAGTGCACAGGCAATTCACTCCAACAATGCTCCAGCAACAACTACATATGAACTGACATCCCATCCACTCCCAAGGTTTTGGAGTACACAGGGCCCAGGTGTTCACTTCAGAAATATAAGAGTGGATTAGCTGGAATTTAACTCATTTTGAATACACAAAAACTGTGGAGAAATGTTGTGAGAAGGGGAAATCTTTTTGGAGTGAATCTTCTGGGTGGGTCTGAACCTTGAAGATCCTGAAAATGCAAACTCAGTATCAACTGAGATAATTGTCATGGCTGGATTACATAATCAAAAAATGTACATGTGGTAGAGAGAGTTAGAATTCTAACTTGGTTGATATTTCACAAGGTACGGTGAAATATTGCAAAGTCTTTGAAGGAGGAGAGTATTGTAAAAGTGGGTAGTGGTTAATAATTTAAATTCAGTAGAGGAATTAACTTCTGAAGTCAGAATTAAATAAAAGATTAAGATGAAAAAGTTACAGTGTGAACTTGAGTGAAAAGGAGGGCTTAATTAAGCAGTCTTTTGGCCAGCTTGGCTTGCTCTAAGGCTGACAAAAACCTTGGAAGTGTTTGGTATTTGAATATTAATGGAGTGCATCATTTTTACACTCCAAAAAAAAATTGGAGTGCAAGGTTGAACACTCCAAAAAACACTAGGGCCCCATTTGTTTGCACAATGTAGCAGTGTTTTGTAGCAGCATAATGTGTGAAATCCCCACAAAATTTGATAGAATTTGAGTTGATTTCACACATAACATGCTTCCATATGACACCAACAAACTTGGCCAAGATTTTCTAGCAAAAAACACTTCATTCCAAATGGTTTGGAGTGAGCCAGCTTGTTCAATCTCCTAGCCTGACCCAAAAAACAGGTGAGAACAAAAAGGTGAGAAAAAAATTGAGCAACAAAATTGAGAAAAAAATTGAGAAAAAAAATTGGGAAAAAAGTTGGGAAAAAAATTTGGGAAAAAAATCGGGAAAAAAATCGGGAAAAAAATCGGGAAAAAAATCGGGAAAAAAATCGTGAAAAAAATCGGGAAAAAAAATTGAAAAAAATGCAAAAAAATTGAAAAAAAAATTAAACAAAAATGAAAAAAGGAGTACATGGAAGTACAGCTAGTTACGTATCTGTATCAGTCACATATCGTACTTTTCCCAAGTACATAATCTTACGAGTACGGTGTATTGTATTATTGGGGAAGTACGCTTATGTAAAAATACATCGTATCGTACTCAAGAATGAGTACGATACGATTCCGTGTAATTGCCAACTTTAAAAGTACGATACGGGCCATTACGAGTACGTGTCTCGTAATGGTTGCACCGTTGATAGCAACTTTATCAACAACTCTAGTCACTATGATTGATTTCTTTCTTTTTCCACTTCACTATTTCATTTGATTCTTTAAAAACTAATTATTTGCAATTACGCCTCTGAATATTTGTGATAGAACTCTTGTTTTTCCTTGATTAACTCTTCTTGCATGACTAAAAGATACTGAGAAGTCCTGTTGAGATTGTTTCTTACAAGAACTCAATTTATTCTTTCTCTTAGTTTTTTATTGAATATGCTATTTTTATTCAATTCATACTCAACCACAATTTGGCACTTGTATTTAGTCCTTTTAATCTGGCTAGTTACTTGTGAATAAAAATTAGGGGCTTGGTTAATCGACTCCCCAAAATTGGAGAGTCGACTCCCAAACCCCGAAACCCCCGAAATTAGGGAGTCGATCCCCCAAAACCGTCGACCGGTTTGGGAGTCGACTCCCTAAGAATTTAATAATAAAAAAATAAAAACCCCCGGTTGGTTTGGGAGTCGATGCTCCCAAACCGACCAGGGTTTGGGGGTCGATAAACCAAATCACACACCGCGCACCCCACGGCAGCGGCCGGGAGGATGCCTCCCGGCC